TCTGTCTGTGCCCTGTCCCCAAAGGTGAGGGACACCTGAGACACCTGGGGTCAGCAGACCGCATAATCCCATCCGGCGCTGCCACTGAGGGGCACGTGTGCTGAACCCCCTTTGCTTCTCTGTTTATCAACCAACAAAGAAACCAGTAGCTCCCTAATGATCCCCTGCCTACCCTCTGCGCTCCCGTGGGAATCGAATTCGACCCGGGCACAGGAAGTAATTTAAAAAGTACAAATCGGGGTTCCAGTGAGAGGAGCTCTCACTGGTTGGGTGGGTGTGTGGGAGGCCATCCTGGCGGCAGGGGGCACTGGCAGGACTGGACTGACTGTTCTGGAACTTCACAGTCTCGCTGGGAGACAGACAGACAACCCAGCTCCCCACCCACCCACCCAGAGAGCCCAGATGCCCCAGGGTAGTGCCCACTCCCCCCCGGGCTGCCTAAGGCACCAGGGCCTTGCTGGGACCAGCCGGAAGGCGTCACACAGAGAGGGCTCAGCTGCTGTCACTAACAGACACGTTTAGGACGGAATGAACCATAGGGAGAGACGCTCTGATCCTGTGGTTGCCCCTGGCATGTCCTCTGGCTGTCTCCCAGCTTACTAGGCTGAAAGTGAAAACAAGGCCACAGCTAAGGAGCTTTGGACCCAGAAGTTACACCCTGGGCTCAGGATGGGGAGGTGGGGGGCGTTGAGGCTGAGGCCTGGCTGAACGAACAGGGACGGAGCCAGTGGGGGGTGGGGGGTGGGGGGTGGGGGGCTGGGCTCCAGGGACGGTACCGGGCAGTCGGCTGGTTTCTGCAGAGTGAGGCCTTGTGGAGGAGAGTGGGGGAGGAGAGTCCTGCAGGTCGGCCACACCTGCACGTCTGACCCTCCAAGCCAAGTGCGGTCCAGTCTGTGGGATGGGGCCAAGCACCCCCAGGCTGCACCCCGCTGGGAAGATTTTCAAAGACAGGGTGTGGCTGGGTTTCTTTGTCGCCTTATCCCCATCTCTTGGGAGGAAAGATTTCCTTAGGGGGCTGCGGACTGCTGAACCCCTTGCAGTGTCACGGACACTCCCGGGGGCGGGGGCTGGGAAAGGGCCAGAACCCAGGTTGCCTGTGCAGCCAGGCGACGGCTATTGGAGCTCCTCCAGATTTGTGAGGGGGATCGCAGTGAGCACGCCGGTGGGGGGTCTCGGGGCTGCGAACCACTGTGGGTGCAGGTGGGGCCCCTGCCTTCCCAGGCTGCAAATCCTGCTCCACTGTGCAAGTGCCTAGGTGTGCAAGCCCCACTCCACTGCTAAAAGTACCTGAGTGTGCAAACCCCACTCCGGGGTTGGAAGTGCCGGCTCCTCCACAGCAACAGCCGGCTTTTCAGCAGGGGTCACCAGGGCCCTGCTCCGCCCTGGACTGGCCCGAATCACCTGCAGAAACACTCTGTCTCAGCCTGGGTCCTCGCCGTGGGCGAGGCCTGACCCCCGGGCACCCACACGAGGATGCCAGCCCAGCACACTGACACCTCTCAGCCCAGAGAGGCTCTGTGTCCCTACTTGCCATCTGTCCAGACGTGGGGGGTCCCTGGGAGGTGGGGCTGCAGCCGGGAGACGGGTCCCCCGTTAGAGCAGGATGCAATGGAGTGGGGTAAGGAACTGGGCCGAAACCTCTAACTTCCAGGTTTGCCGAATCTGCCTCGTGTGCAGGCGCGGAGGCCCCGGTCGCAGGGGCAGAGGCTGCTGGGGCTGGACCTCACCCCACGGCTTGGCTGGGTGCAGGGAGCCCTTGTGTACAGATGACCTCAGGGTCTCACCCAGCCCTGAGGGTAGACGTGACTGCCCTCCATTTTACAGATGGAGAAACCGAGGCCACGAGATGTGAGGTGACTTGCCCACACGGCTGCCTGGTGGGAGGGGAAGGGACAAAACCCACCTGACACCCAGCCTGGGCTTTCTAGTTCAATATTCCCCCGACATCAAGCAGTGGCCCAATGAATATTTCATTAGTGACGTAATTGAACTTGGCCCTGGGCTCCTCCTCCTGGAACTCTCTGGGCTCCCCGACCTTGCTCAGGCCCATCCCCCCCAGCACAGGCACTGCTGGACCAGGCGGAGGGAGGGCCCTACCCTCCACCCTGGGCTCACCACACCTGTCATTGATCACAAAACGAAGCTGCTCTTCGGACAGAGAGACGACAACCAGCCCCCATCACTCATCTCTGGGGAGGCGCCCAGTTCCCCTCCCCCACCACAGCTCGGCACAACCCGAGGACACATGGCTTCTTACTTGTTCTGAATTTACTGTCCAGTAAGTTTTCTGTTCTCATTTTATGTGACAGGCAGCCAAGCAATTTTTCTCCCAGGCCTCCCTCTGAATCCCAACCACCCCCATAAATCCCTCGGACACCTCCTCTCCGGTCCCAAGAGAAACAGAAAGGTTAGCTCGGCTTTGGTGGCCTCTGCAGGGAGGGGGCAGCTTCTCCCCAGAGACTCCCCCGGCGCCTGGTGGCTGTCTGCCCTGCGCCCCGTGAGCACCGACTGGGGGGGCGGGAGGAGGGGGTGGGTGGAGAGGAGGCAGCCCCCCCCCCACCTGCAGCACTAACAGCCGGGGCGGGGGTGGGGGGGTTGGAGGGGCGATAGACCTCCTGACCCACTCGCGTTTTGTCTGTGGGCACTTTGCAGGACTCAGGCTCCTGCCCTGAATGTCCATGAGGGGCACAGCAGCTGGACCAGCCCCATGGGTGGACGCCGGGTGCAGGGACGGGGTGGGAAGGACCGGGCCAGAGTTGGGGAGGCAAGTGAATCAGGGCCCTGGTGTGGCCTGGACAGGGGTCTGGGCTTCGCTCACAGGAAAGGGGTCGCCAGTGGCTTCTGAGCAGGGACTTCAGGCAGTTTACAAGGCTACCGGCTGCCCTGGCTGGCAGGGGCCCTGAATTAGGGAGAGAGTCAAAGCTTTGAGGACAGAGTGATGGGGGGGGGCGGGCAGCGGGGGAGGTGGTTCTGGGGGCAGCCTGTGGGAGGAGCCGAGCATCGCCCCTGTGAAGGGGGGCAGGGTTCCGCGGAGGAGGGAAAAGCGGGGGTGGGGTGGACGCTGCACCTCAGGCAGCCCCCCACTGGCTGTGTGCGCTGCTGGGCACCCTGAAGTTCTCTGGGGCTCAGTCCCCGTGGGGTGCTGCTGCGGGGGTCTCACCAGTGACTGCATTAAAGTGGGATCTGGCACAGAGTGAACACGGAGGAAATGTTACTGCTTCCACCGTGTTTAACACGAGAAGCCGCTGAAGAGGGTGAATAACTTGCCCCAAATCGTCATCGGGAGGGATAAGTCGGCGGCGCTCCAGGGCATAGTAGCCACTCCCACAGCGGCCACCAGAGGGCGCCTCGGCCTCAGGACCAACCGCAGCTGGGGCGCACCTGGCACCCACGCGCCTGAAACACCAGGCGGAGGGTGGGAGACGACCAGACGCTGCGCCGGGTGGTGCGGGGTGAGTCGCCGCACAGGTCCCCAGGAGGAAGGACCGTCTAGGCTCCAGTCCGCGCCCCCTCACTCACAGTTCCGTGAGCTTGCACATACAATCTAACTTTTCTTTAACCTGAACGCCCACGGTGGCCCCTTCCCCAGCCGTCGGGGCCAACCAAACCCACTCTCTCGCAGCCGCACGAGGGTTGATGCGGGATCTTGCGGAGGAGCCTCTGAGCGGCTCTGTGTGGCCGCCGCGGTTGGTCCCCGGATGGAGGGGGTGCAGGGGCGGAAAGGAAGAGACTGTGCAGAGGGAACAGCGCGTGCGAGGGCTCAGAGGCAGTGGTCGGGGAGAACAGGTGCATCCTGGCGCATGGTGCGGGGCTGAGGCCTGGAACGACCACCGAGAGCAGAAGGCCAGAGGTCTGGGTGGGGAGGGCCCCCAAGGGTTCCTTGCTCTGCTGCTCATGAGACCGCTCGGCCTGGGAGGGGAGCAGCACAGACCCCACTGACCTGGGCAGCCCTGGGGGTTGAGGGCGGGCTACCTGGTCCCTGGCACCGTGGACGCCGGAGTCAGGGAGGGGAGGGAGGAGAGGCACCCAGACCCTCGAAGTTCCAGTGAGGACAGAGGCTGGAATGACCTCGTCCGACCTTCAGTCCCGTCCTGTCCCTGTGGGGGGGGCCTCAGGGAGCCACACCCCTACACTGAGGGGACGCAGAGGCTTCCAGAGTTCATGGTGCATGTGGGGCTTGGGCACAGCTGCCCCCGTGGCGCCCAGGCAGCTGTCCTGAGCACGGGGACAGCCTCCCTTGTCCCCCACCCCCCATTTCCTCTCCCCCTGGCTCTGTGGCCCTGCCAGGTGTCACGGTGCTACAGGGACAGGTGAGGTTTCCTCAGAAGCTGGTCCAAGAGGGTGAGAAGGGGGTTGGGGTCAGAGAGGGGCTGGGGACACGGCCTGTCACCGGGGCCTGGCTAACGGGTCTCTTCTCTTGGCACAGACGCACAGAGCTTCGGCTTGCTGGACCCCAGACTCTGCTACCTGTTGGACGGGATCCTCTTCGTCTACGGCATCATCATCACTGCCCTGTTCCTGAGAGCACAGGTGGGCGCCCCTGACTCTGGGGGCGGGCGTGGGCCTCCCTCGGTGGGTGTTCAGAGGGGCCACGGTCTTGCAAAGTCTCGAGCGTGGGTTGTACCTATGGCTTGTACCGTGGGCCGAGCAGGGACCGGCCCAGGGGGCACATTGGGTAGACTGGGGACCCTGTACTGGCCAGCTTAGTGAGGAGCATTGACATGCGACACCAAGGTCTCGGTGGGGGGAGGCAGGTGCTGCTGGAAGGAAACGGCCTTGTACTTCCGTCTCTCCCCAAGTCCACTGTCCGTCTGCCCACGCAAGTCCCTGGCAGGAAGTGGGAAGTCTGGCCCCAGCTGGGTTTCCGTGGAGCCTCACCGGGCCTGGGTTTCTGGAGGGGCGGGGGCTCGGGTGGAGGACGAGGGAGGCCTGGCGGGGAAGGAGGTTCCGGCCCTGTTGTCGCTGCAGCGCCTCAACCCAGGCTGTCTGGGAGTTGAGACTTGGCTGTTTCATTGGAAAAGCAGAGTTGTGTGGACTTTCTCTAATGTCTGAAGGAGCCGCCCCAGGTCCCAGGTCCCTCGGGTGGGCCCCGGCTCCGACCTGCAGGGCCCGGCAATCTCCGGCTGGGCGGGGAGCGGGAAAGGGGCGGCTCGGGTGCGCCCTGCGCTGGTCCTCAGGACCCTCCGCCAGCACCAGGCGGGACTCGGGCAGCACAGGAGTGGGACCTTGTGCAGCCACAGGGCCACGGTGGGGCTGTCCTCCAAGGTGCTGGGAGAAAGGGCCTGGGAATATTCTGCGGGACACAGAACTGGGGATACAGAACTGCGTGGGGTCGCCTGAAGTCTGCCAGGACCAGCGCGGTGCTGCCGGTGTCCCTGTGTGGGGTGGGGCTCACACCGGGCCACCAGGCGGCAGAGCAAGGTGGTGGCCCCACTGGGGCACTCACACTGTGCTGTCCCCTCTCTTCCAGTTCAGCCAGAGTACGGACACCGTGGTACAGGCACAGGGCCAGGGCCCAGGTCAGCTCTACAATGTGAGTCTGCTTGGTCTCGCAGCCAGCGGGGATGCGGGGGCCTTGGGCAGGGCATGGCCGGCAGGGAGAAGGGGCGTCCTCCACTGAACCCCGGAAAACCCGGGCAGTAACACACCTGCGTCGGCGGGAGCTAAGAGGCCAACAGGCTCTCGGGACCGGGTGCTGGAAAGGCCCGCTCTGCGCGGTGTGGATGCTCACAGGGCCGGGCTGGCGGGCTCCTCCCCTGCGGCGGACCCCGTGCAGTCAAATGGACCACTGCCCCGACCCGTGGTAACATGACTCCGAGGGGTTCTCTGAGATGCTGGGACCCGAGGGACCAGTTACTGTTACCCCCAGTCCCTGCTGCTCTCTCTGAGAGCCCCCAGGGTCCCCCCCCCAGGTACCCCCCACCCCGCCCACACGTTCCTGTTTCAGGAGCTCAACCTGGGGCGGAAAGAGGAGTATGACGTGCTGGATAAGAGACGCGGCCGGGACCCTGAGATGGGAGGAAAGCAGGTAGGACTTTCTTCTTTCTGCCTGTGCCAGTGTGTGCGTGGGGGTGGGAGGGGCAGGGCCTGGCGGGAGGACCCTTCAGAGCCACTAGCACACAGTCACTGCCCCAGACCCTGCCTGCAAGGGGCCGGGCCGGGAGAGCTGGCCCCGCCCCCGGGTCTGCACCAGTTCGCGCATGCGCATGCATGCTGGGGGTGGGGGAGCTGCACCGCCCCCTTGCCCAAGCTCCCCGAGACCCTGACTGCTCCTCTCTGCCCCTCGGGCCCCTGAGATGTGCTCCCAGTGGCACCATCTGCCCTAGGGGGACAGACCAAGAGAGCCACCTGGGAAGGGGTGCTGGGTGCTAGGTCCCTGAGAGTGCGGTCACCACCGGGCAGCTCTGTCCCCCTCCTATGCCAGGGCAGCAGCTGGACGAGGCCAGGATCACCCTGCCTGACACCAGCAGGGACCCTGATGTCCCCCCAGCACCCCCCATCTGAGCTCTGTGCAGGGTGTGCTGTTGTTGTAGAAAATGGGGGGACCCCCTCCATCTCCTTGACACCCCGCCCCCCAACCCCCCAAACCTTCTCTCCTTACCTGGACCGGGAGGGGTGAGCGGGTGGGGCTGGACGGGTTGTGGGTCCTGCTGAACAGAGGCTGGCCGTGCTCCCAGTGGGGGTGCTTGGTGCTCTTCCCCTTCAGCGAAAGCCTCACTTGTAAGCTTGTGCTACAAGGGCCAGTGTGTTGGCCGGGGGACCGACGGGCTGCAGCGGACACCCAGTCTGTCCCGGCATGGCTGTGCAGGGGACTGTGAGGGGCCCACAGAGGGCAGGGTGGGGGTGGGTGGGGGCGGGTGGGGCGGCTGCCCCCACCGTGACAGCCCCACACCTGACCCTTGCCTGTCTCTGCCGGCAGAGGAGGAAGAACCCACACGAAGGCGTCTACAACGTGAGTGGGGCTGCGGGAGGGTCCCCTCCTGTCACCCCCAGGCCTCCTGTCCCTCGGCCCCAGCTCATGCTGCAGGTCCTGGGGGCCGTGGGGGCAGGACCTGCAGGTCAGGCTGGGTGGGCCCTCCGGGGGCTCCCATTCCCCGTGTGGCCCTTCACGCCCTTCAAAGGGAGGCCGACCTTCCCACCCCAGTGGGCCTGACGCTGTTTACAGACGTCACTCTGGGTCTGCCACAAAGCAGGGGCCTGGCGGGGGCCTGGGGAGAGGTGCCCCTGCACCTCTGCAGCTGGTTGACAACTGGCTCAAATGCATGATTCCGGGGCCCACTGAGCCCCGAGCTGCCCACCACCCCTGTTCCATGGCTGGAACCCCATGTCTCGCCCTCCTGGGCTGCTCAGCTCCGGGCAAAGGGCTGGCAGCCAGAGCCCCACCCGAGGGCTGAGGAAGAGAGAGTGGGTGGGAGCTGGCTCTTGGCAGACAAGTGAATAAGGACCCCCCAACTCAGGAACCGAGAGGCCTGGTGTGGGAGGGGCCCCAAGTCTGCCGCAGTGGGGGACCCGTGTCCCACGCTCCCCCCTCCAGGCGCTGCAGCGGGAGAAGATGGCTGAGGCCTACAGTGAGATCGGGATGAAACCCGAGGTGGGTGCCGCTCCCTCGCCAACCCTGGGGGGCGGGGGTGTGCTCCATGGGGAGCCTCCTGGCTCTCCCCGCCCACCCACACCGCCTGCTGAAGCCTCATGGTGACCACGGGGGCGAAGGTTAACTCGCTCCTCCCCACCCGGCACTCGAAGGACACCACTGAGGCGCCAGAGCCCTGGAGGATTCAGAACTAGGCCCCGATGCCAGGGGCCTGAGCCTGGTCCCGGCAGCGCAGGTCTGTCACTACTGACATGGGGGGGCCTGTGGCACTGGAGGCCCAGGTCACAGAGGACCTAGAGTTGGGACAGACTCTGTGGTTGGGGCTTGTGACCCCATGGAGCTGCTGCTCCTGGCAGCTTCGGTGACCAGCCAGGACCCACGAGGCTGTGCGGAGACCTGTGTATTCCAGTGGCAGGCAGCGTGGCCTGGACCCCCGGAACCGGGTGTCCGCGTGGATCTGAGTGGGCAGAGGAAACCTGGGCGCGGTGGAGCCTGGTCCCTCCCTCCCTCTGCAGAGGTCCAGGCCTGACCGGTGCCCTCGAGAGAGCAGAAGCCACAGCCGACAGCCTGACCCGCCCCCTTTCTCATCTCCCCCGCAGAACCAGCGCCGCCGAGGCAAGGGGCATGACGGCCTCTACCAGGTAAGGGCCCACCTGCACGCCTCGAGGTCCGCCGGCACCTCCTTCCCTGCTGGCGCCACCCAGCCAGGGCGTGGCCAGGCTCCCACATGCTCTTGCTAACAACTGGTCAGGGCGAGCGGTGGGGGCCAAGCAGCCACTACCTGGGGCTGTGCCATGCGGCCCCCGGCCACCACCCGGCCCGTGCAGCTGCTCCACCTCGGAGCCTCAGACCTCTGAGGATGGCAGGATGGGCGGGGAGGCTGAAGGGAGAAAATCAGGACCAGTAATGAGTTTGACAAGGAAGTGCCACAGCGAGGTGGCTGGTTTATGCAAATCAGGGGAGATGCCTAGGCAAACATCACCCCAGGGGTCTCCTCTACAGCTGGCTGCCCTGGCCAGGTCCCAGCTGGGTCCCCTCACTGACTCCAACCTGGCAGGCTGGCCCCAGTCACCGTGATGTCACAGGGGCCCCGGGACGTGGCTGAGACAAGCCTGCCCGTGGCCTGGCGGATGGAGCTGTGTTGGCGTGGCCTGGGAAGAGGCGGCAGGGGCTGCCTGGGCACAGCACTGCAGAGCAAAGTGGGGGTTCAGCAGGAGAGGAGCTGCCCTCCGCCATGCCCAGTGGGGACACCACTGTCCCCCGCCCCGGAAACGAGGGGCTGGTCCCTGGGCCTCTGGAAATGTGTGGACACTTCCTGTTGGCCCAGTGGTCTTGTGCCCTGACAGCCTCCAGCCCACTGTCTTTTCTGACTTCCTGTCCCCAGGGGCTCAGCTCGGCCACCAAGGACACCTACGACGCCCTCCACATGCAGGCACTGCCGCCTCGCTAGCGGCTGGGCGCACGCTCCCAGGCCAGCCCTGCAGACACGGAGATTGTGAGGCCCAGGACAAACCGTTTCCGACCTGGCTCGCAGCCCTCACCACTGAAGTCTTCCACTCCCGGAGCAGGACGCTTCGCGCCGTGACCGTTTGGTCCCTTCCACTCCCAGCCCTTCGCTCACAGGACTTTGCCTGGTGCGCCGTGAGGGAGAGCGTCCCTGGGCGGTGGCCGGTCCTCCGGGAGCCCAGGGGTCCTCAGTCTTGTCCGGGGACTGTGGCTCCTGCCTGGGGGTGGGGGGGGGGAGGGGGGGCACTGCCCCCAGCCAAGCGTTTTGGTAAAGCCCTGCACATGCACCCCCACCGAACAGTCCTAACTGTGCTGTCCATTTACGCTGCTGTAAATTTGGCTTCTGTTATCAGCCGTCCATCCCCCAACCCTGCTTGATAGCTCGTAATGGGGCCAGGGGCAGCCTCCTCCTGCAAAGGTCTGGCCAAGGGGCTGGGCCGGCAGTGGGAAGGCTCTGGAGCCCCCCTCAGCCGGCGCCCCTCCCACACCGTGGTCTGGGGCCAGACGCCCTGGGGCTGAAGGAGGAACTCACCCGTCTGCCTTCACGGGGAGCCTGCCAGGAGTGAACTAGTGTAAAACCCCACGCCGGCACCGAGCGTGACCGGGCGGGGAGGCCATGGCAGGGCCGAGGCCATGTGCGTCCTGGGCACTGGTGCCCGTCACACTGAGTTCAGGGCGCACCCATCACCGTGCAGGCCTGCAGGGAAGAGTCCACACCACTTGGGCCCACAGAGACCCTGGAGGACAGGGGCCCAGATGGACACCCTTCTGCTTGGCCAGGTTGAACTTACGCCGGTTTGCTAAAGCTGCCTCTTTGCCTAATAAATGCTTTGGTGAAATCACTGCTTTAGGTCAAGTTTATTTCGGCAGTTCCCGGGGAACAGGTCTGCCACCAGCATGGGGGTCAGACGGCCTGTGGGCAGGGCGCAGCGTGGCGCCGGCTGTGGGGTGTGAGACAAGCCCAGGGGGCTGCGCAGCACTGCCCTCAGAGGGTGTCGGGGACGTGGGGACAGCACTGATGACACAGCACAAACCTCAGGCCCCAGGGACCTGGGAGGGCAGAGGAGAGAGGGCAGGAGGTAGGTTCCCCTCACCAACAGCAGGCGGCCCTTCCTCTGGTGGCGGCGGCTGCGGATCAGGCCTAACTCGTCAGCCCACCGGCTGGTGCTCGGTAGAGGCTTTGGGATCTGAGCCTTCACTTGTTCAAAGAAGTAGCTGGTCCGGGCTGTCAGCGGTCCAGCGTCTGGGACCCCAACCAGAATGACGTGCGCCGCGGCCAGGCACACGTCACCCTTCCCGGCAGCTCCTCTGTCCCAGCACCTGGCGAGCCACCGGGAAGGAGAGAGAAGTGTCAGGAATCGTCACAGGGTTAGGGACTTAACTAACATTTTGTCCGGTCTCAGCCCCATCCTCTGAAAGGACACAGCACCCTCAGCAGCATCAGGACCCCCGGGGGCAGGCGGGCAAGAGCCGCTGCCAGGGGGTGCAGAGGAGCCGGGAGGCTGGAGTGGGGGCGACCTCCAGGGGGCAGGAAGACCTCAGTTGCGCTTCACCCACTCAAGCTCCCCAGGGCAGCGCCCCTGAGCTGTGCCCCTGGGCTGTGCTGGGTCCTCTACTCACGGGCTTTCAAAGGCAGCAGGGGGCCCGTCCGCAGGTCAGGCGAGGAAGCCTCAGCCGCACGCTGGTTTGCAGGTCTGCTGAGCTGGGCGGCCGGTGTGGCTTGCTTGACATAATAAGGGAGTTGGACCCACTGTGTCAAGAATTTGGAGGCAAGGGGAGGGGGGCAGGGCCAGGAGGGGGTGCTGCATGCAGGACGACCACAGACAGGCACCCTGGGAGGGGACTGAGTGACATGCTGACAGACGGAGCCCCAGCGCCAAGGTGAGAGGGGCCCTTGCAGCTGGAGAGAAAAGACAGCAGCAAAAGAACTCCTTTCTGGTGGGCAAGTCGCCGGGTCCACAGGCCACTGCACGTGGGTCAGGACACGCCCACCTTCCAGGAAGAGCGATGGGACCCCAGAATCGCACTGGCCCTGTTTCCTGCCTCCTGAGGGTGAGGCCAGTGGGCTTTGCCTTCCAAAGTCCTCGTCACCCTGGTGAGTACACCGGCGTCTCTACCAAACAGGATTCCTGTCGAAAACTTGGAGCAGTTTTAAGGGAATAATATCACCCACTTAACCACAAGCTGTAAATACAGGAAGTGGGGCTGGAGAAGGTTGGGTAGAGGAAGAGGACCCCAGCGCCCTCCCGTAGAGCCCGGCGGCCAACAGCCGCCCCCTAACTCGAGGAGTGTGTACGCCACGTCCAGCAGGCGCTGGTGAGAGAGCGGCGGCCACAGCAGTGTCCCCCCGTGATGAGTCGCGTGAGGACGCAGTCCCCCTGCCCTGTGGTCCACAGCAGTCTGGAGACAACCGCGCACGGAGCCAATCCAGCAGGAGGGCTCTGCTCGGGCAGCAGAAACAGTGACACGGCAGTCGAGTTCACTGTCAGTTCTGTGGCCAAGTTCCCAGGGAAAAGGGGTCTTTGGAGAGCCCCCTCGTGGGGTCCATCAGGGGCCTGCTGTCTGTTGGCAGCGAGCACTAGGGTCTGAAAAGCCCCCTACTGGTGGCTCCTGCGCCCCGGCACTCAGGCTGGGGGGAGCGGGGTGTGCAGCACCCAGGTCTGGACCCGAGACTGTCAAGGAAACTCAGGACAACGTGGAAACACTTGGAAAACGGTTTAATGGTGTTGTACAACAGAAACGAACTGCACAGTTACAGTCGGGTTTCGTATCTATAAAAATTACAGCAGACAAACACACCTGCACAGAACCTAGGCTTTCCTACCACTCACCGCCACCTTCACAGCCTCTCCCGAGCCTGCAGCCCCGCAGGCAGCCTGGGGAGGGGGGGTCACAGGAAGGGGACTTTTAAGGAGACAGCACCACTCATACCCTACCCACCCCCCCGACTCCTCAGGCCTAGGGAGGGGTCAGTGAATGCCCCCAAATGAGAAGCTGCTTGTGTTTCCTGGGACCCAGATAATGAAGCCCCTGACTCCAAGTTACCAGCTGGTTTTTATCAAATCTTCCTCTGGTGGGGGAATAGCTACTGGGGTGTGGTGGGGCCGCAGTGAGGGGCCGTAGGACGGCCACCCGGACAGCAAAGTCACTTTGAGGAGACGTGGAAGGACTCCCAGTCCAGGACCCTGGGACCGCCACTGCCTCGTGACAGCCGCCGGACAGTGCTGGGAAGAACCGTTTCCACCGCGTCGGGAGTCTCCACACAAGGGAACTCCAACTCACATTGTCAAGTCAAGTACATGAAACCAGAAGCTCTGGGAGGCCTTGGGGGCCAACCCCGCCCTGTGCCCTTCCCCTGACGACACTGGGGAAGTACCCCTGAACCAACATGTACAAAACAAAGCAAGAAAAGAAAAAGGTGGGGAAGTCATTTAAAGGCAGAAAGAAAGAAAACAGCTTCAGAAAAACACAATCACTGTGTCTTTACAACAGAACAAAGCCCCAGCTGGGAGCGGGAATCAGCGAATCGGCACTCGGGTTGAACGAGGACGTTTATTACTGAACAGCATGTACACTCAGAGGCTTCCATTGTCTCCGTTACTGTGGACACCCAGGCAGTGAGAACTGTTATGTTAATGCACAGAGACACACCCCAAACATACAAAAATACTATTATTTCAAACTACTAGGATAGGACAGTTCAGTTACCTCCATGCTATGACTGTACACTAAACAAATGACGAGTTAAGCGACATTTTTTAATATCCCAGGAATATACCAAAATATACATCTAAGCTTTGGAATTGCTGAGGTCAGACGAGCGACGCGAGTGCTGGGCACGCGCACGGGACACGCGAGTCTGAGGTTCTGCGGGACGGAGTCATCTTTGGTATCTGCGTCAGGCTGACGTTGCTCATCAACATCTGGATTCTGCTTTGGGATAGAGCTTGTAGGACCCTAGAACCAACCCCCCCAATCAACCGAGAGTAAAAAGGTCTGTGTAAAAAGCCCCTCTGCTTGCACCCCCCGCCCCCCGGTAAAAAGCCGCAGGCATCTACCCAGCACAGAAGGCCGTGCCGACGATGCATAGTCGCGCAGTGCAGACAAGGGACCGGCTACGTCAGGGTGACAGCTCGGCAGTTTGCCCGCACACTCTCACACCCGGGGAGGGGCTGCCTCCAAGTGTCCCCGGGGGAAGGACAGGGACGGAAGGCTCCAGGGCCCAGAGGTTAGCACCCGGCAGAGCAGCCAGGCCTGCGCCAGAGTCTCCAGCCCACCCCCCACTCCGGGGAGCCCTGGGCCGTGGGGGCCCGCCCTGCCCGTCCCAGGCCAGGCCCTGCTGCGGCCATGGCGGCTGTGGGTGGACGGCTACGTGGCGGGTTTGTCTGCTGAAATGCCAGTCTGCTCCACGGCGCGGTCACCAGTCGGCCGGGGCCGAGTGCGCACCTGCAAACCAGATGGGGAGGGCAGCCGCCTGCCAGCCCCGCTGCGCTGCAAGCCAGGGCGCCACAGACCAGGTCGGCACCGAAGACTGCCCTTCTCTTTGGTTTTTTTTTGTTTGTTTTGAGTTTATACAATCATTAAGAAATCTTTGGTTTTGGCTGGAAATTTAAAAAACAAAACAAAACCAAACAAAGAAACCGCCCTCCCTGGCGAAGGGCGGCTGCGACGCAAAGACCGGCGGCGCCCTCCGACGCGGAGTGGGGCTGAGGCTGAGCTACATTCAAAGGGAGGGTGGCTGGGGGTGGGGCGCAGCTCCCAGGAGCCGTGGGACGCGAGATTGTCAACTTATAACGACGACAACGAGGACAACTTAAACATCTGGATCTCTTTTGGTCACGTCACAGGACCGACAGTGAGAGGTGTGCAGCAGTCGGTGCCAAGGGGCCTCTTTGGTGCTGTCCCCCCCCAGGTCCTGAAACGTAGCAGAATGGGTAGGCAAGGGTGGGAGCTGGCGTGTGGCCAGCGGTCGGAGAGGGGGCGCAGCCGGCAGCCCCCAAAGGCGGTGGGGGCTGCAAGTGTAGACCTGTGCAGACCCCTTGCAACACAGAGGAACGGAAGATTGCAATCTGCCCTCAGTTCGCACCAGCTTTCCAGCAGCGGCATTCGGAGGTGTCGGAGGTCCCAGCCCAGGCCACAGGCCCCTGGTGCTACGGGCCAGAGCCCGGCAGGGTTCTGGGAGGGAGGGCAGGCTTGGCAACTCTGTGGGGTTTAGAGACACTCAAAGCGAGCTACTCAGTCACAGTTGGAGTGAGGTTTACGGCGGCCCTGGGCTGCAGTGGGGAGAGGCCTGCGCTCACTCGCCCAGCCTTGGCCGCCACCTAGGAGGAGGGGACAGATGGGGGAAGTGGCATCTCCAAGGAGGGCGAGGGTGCACACAGGCCTGCTCCCCAGAGGTAAGGGGCTGCAAGTCCGTCTGTCCCCCCCAACCGAGCCCCGGGGCCGACGGTGCAGGCTGCAGAAAGGCCACGTCGCAGAGGCGGTGGGTCTCAAGTTCGCAGCGCAGGGGGCAAGGCACACCCCACACGGGCCCGTGCGGCTCAGAATGGGGCAGGTCTGTCCCTCACTAACAAAACCATCACCCTCTGAAAGTGCATTGATTTTCCTGCCACATGGCTCCCACAGAGATGGGGGGGGCCCCGGGCAGCACAGGGTCCTGTCCCTCCGAGGCCCCAGCTGTGCAGAAGCGCCTGAACACCTCACCAGGAGCAGTGCCGTGGCCAGCCACCTGCCTGCAGGCTTCAGGGCGCACAGTCTAAACTTAGGGTCCCTCAGCTGTGCTCGGAGTGGACGTGGCCCACCAAGCACTGCAACACACAAGTGACAAAGGAGTCCCGGGGGGACTTCGCAGCAGACCTCGATGTTTCTTCGAGGGGACCTAGGTTTGCGGTCTGAACCATCTGAGAGGGTCGCACGTCTGAGCCAGACGGTGGTGCAGGTGGTGGAGCCCTGTGCAGGGTGGGCAGACCCCGGGACCCGGAGGGTCACAGAGGGTGTGCACCTTCTCCGGGTCCTGGGGGGTCTCATTCTGCAACCCAAGTGGCACCCACTGAGCACGCTGGTTTCCTCTCAGCCCCGTGTCAAGTGCCTCCATCTCCCACGCCCCACGGCCTGCCCAGAGGTCTGGGAAGTCACACAGCGCAGACACCCTTCCACGTGGCAACCGAACAGGCCCATCAGAAAAGCTCTGGTAAAGTTCGACAGCCTCACAGTCTTGCACGAGTATTAAAAGAGCGATACATTTCTTGCCCCCTCTCCCTGTCTGGGTCCCAGCAGCGGCGCCCGGGACCACTAGCTCCTCCACTCCCGGAGCTCGGCTGGCAGGATGCCCTGGAGCAACACCCAGGACAGCCAAGGACAGCCTCGTGGCTCCCCAGGTCACCCTGCTCTTGAAAATGCTCACCTTCTACAAGCAACAGAACAGAGACAGTGCCTCGAAAAGCTGCCTGAACTCAAACTGGCTGCCCTGGCCCTGCAAACGTTAGATGCAGGGGAATGAAGAATTCCGCCCTCCCCCACCCCCGCGATTTCCCACAACCCCAATAACCTCACGGCGGCCCTGGGCAGCCCCGCCTGCCCCTCAGACCAGCAGAGTGGGATGAAGGACACAACATCGGCTGCTGGCACAACATCCGACGTGACGTGGGGCAAGAAGAGCCCGCTCCACTCCTGCCGCCCAGCCCCACGCGCCGTCCGCTCCTCTCCTAGTTTAAAGGGGCACTTGCAGCCACTCGCACGTGTGCGTCTCTGCCCTCGCATCCGCTACTGGGGGGCGGGTGAGAGCCCTTAGGAGAGGCTGGCAGGGCCAGTCTGCGGGCACTGATGCCCAAGGGGTGCCTGAACCCGCGGGTGGCCCCGCAGATCAGACCACAGCGAGGCCAGCGGCCCCTCCACCCAGTCAGAGGGGCGGCATCGCCCCCTTCGGCAAGTCAGACACAGGAAAACAGACTCCACGGGCGGCAGTTTCCCTCCACACGTGGTCACCTGGCCCCCCGCCCCCCGAACCCCACGCGCTGTTGCCTACAAACAGGACCCGACACACACAGCGTCAGTCAGAACACACACGAGTCACCTAAGTGCTACAGCTACAGTTACCCCCACTCCTTAGAAAGTTCTTTCTTCTATCTGTTTTTGAGTTTAAACCAGTTCTGCAACAATGCTAACCTGTGCTGAGGTATTTCACGGAGGTGCCAGGGCTCACTGCTACCCTTCAGTGTCACCCTCATGGACTAGGGTGCTGCCATTCCAAGAGAGAAGGGAGAAGGGAGGAGAGACCAGACTCCAGGCCCCGCCTTGCTCCTCATGGGCTCCTGAGTCTGGCTGAGGCCAAGGGCAGGAGGCCCTGAGGGCAGTGAGCAGCGCAGCTCGCACATGGGGGTCTGGGTGTGAAGCAGGCAGCTCAGAGACAGCCCTGCCCGTGGGCAGAACCGTTTCAAACAGCTGCCCAGGAAGCCTGGGGTGCCCCCCGCAGCATCTTCGGGTAAAGAGAAGGGTGAGCGGGCCGGGCCCCCGCCTCTGCCCAGTGCCTGGTGAGTGCCACCTCTGCAAGGCCGGTCCGAGCGCCTCCTGAAGGGCCGAGGAGGGCTTGTTTTCCTTCTCAAAAGTAAGGTGAGCACTAAGGAAGATGGGCCATTTCATTAAGTGTTGTCCTCAGAATGTCTTAAAGACGGAAATGACTTCAAATGGCCAGGGCTTTGAACGTCACACAGTGAATGCTTTTCACACACACACACACAAAAGTGAACCCATAACGGTTACAATCAGATTGACCGTCCTTTCTCACTGGAGTAACCCTAAAATTCGGACCTTTGGTCTGTAACCCTCTCAGCTCTATTAATGCGGCTGGAGGGGCACCTGCTCTGGAGCCGACCGAATGGAAAGTGCCGGCCAGGCCCTCTCGCCACCGAGGGAGTCTCTTCTGCAGCCCCTCCCCCCTCCCGGCGCCCGAGGCCCCCACTTTTGCCTGCCTGCCCTCCTCCCCCGTCTTCCTGGCCCAGTGCTCCACTGTCCACCTGGTGAGGAAAGTTCTGCGAGGGGCCGTGGCTTGGGGACAACTCTGGACTGTGACTAGGCCACGTGGTTATCACACACTAATTGCCATGCTTACTATCAACATGTATAACTCTGGAAGTCTATACTAATGTCCCATATTTGCAAATGTAAGCCAGCTTTCCCAGCAACTTAAATAGAAAATTTAATGTTAAAGATTGGGTTGAATTTAAATATCGTGTCAAGCAAATATCTGTGCTTCTGGGTAATACAGACCAGGTTCTCTCTGCCTTCACAAATGAATGAAGGAAAATAGGGCAAAATAGTATTTTTTAAAAGAGGTATAATTGTGCTTCTTCCCCCCAACAATGAATTATGTAGAACCAACCAGCAAGATAATCTTACTAAAGTTTTTACATCAGCCCCATCTTCCCTCTAAAGAAAGACTGCGGTCTCGAGAGCGCTGCCATGGCGCACACGGGTGCGACCCCACGGACAGCAGCGGGGCCCTCGGCCGTGCTCTGATGACGAGCTGCGTCAGTGGGGTCAGGACCGAGCCTCCTCGTGAAGCAAGCACAGGGAGTGTGCACGGGACCCGCACATGGCGCCCACTCCAACAGCGTGGGCTCACTCCCGCAGCCAGGAGCCTGGCTCCACTCAGACCTGTCCGAGGCAGGACTGCGGTTCGTGACCGAGCGCACTGCTGTGAGCAGCCGGGGTGGCCAGGCCACTCGCCACTCCCCAGGGAGGGCCCATCCCCACGGGCCAGCGCAGGGCCACGACGCACGCACCAGATTTAGTCTTTGGTTTAACGCGCTAACCAGTCCCAGGGGTGAAGCAAAACTGGCACTGACAGGGGGAAGCCAGGAGACAGGTGTGCTGAGCTGCAACGGCCCATCTGGCCCTTCCTCCCAGAAGCACAAAAACTCAGACCGACACCTCTTTTTGGTCAGATGCCCCCCTTAATTTCCAGACTCTTCCACGAGGAGTCTAATGCTACGTCTGAGCAGCTGGCTTCGGAGGTTCATTCCACGCAGAAAGCTGTTCTTGAGGTGACAGCAGGAGAGGCGGAGGGAGAAGGACACAGACAGGCAGAGCCGGGGGCAGCGCGGCCAGAGGGCCACCTAGGGATGGGGCGGGGTCTGTTCTAGTCTGACAGCCAGCAGCGAGCTGTGTTAGTGTTCCGCACAGACAGCCGGGCATGTGTAAGTGCATCTTTCATCTTGCAGCTTGTTTTTAAATAACAGAAAAAACCCAGTTAGCTTTGTCTAAGAATTTACTTCTTTTAAATGCAGGTTTCCAAGCTGGTTTCAGGCTTGGGTGTCCTCATGGGGGGTCCCTGGCAGGGTCCCTTGTCCCGAGCTGACGGGAGGGGACAGACAGGGCCAGGGACAGAAGGCCATTGCCCCGGGGGCTGAAGTGGAGTATTTCTGTGAATGCTGCAGGCGCCGGGAATCACAGTCCGGAGAGGGCGCGCCCTCTGAGCCACACGGGGACGGAAGGACGGAGCCTGGCCTCGCCCCTTTGGGCTTCAGTCCCTCAGGACTCAATTCTTCCTTTGGTAGCCACTTTGGGAGATTAATGCTATCGCCTCTGACCCAGTATTGGGGGCACCCGCACCCCCTCCCTGAACACTGCCTCTGCACCTGCCCCCCTCCAGAGAGCCCCCCACAGGCAGCGGCGGGAGGGCCGACAGTGCTACAGCCACGGGCCCGGACTGCTCAGGAGGAGGCCCACGCTGAACCGCGTCGGGGGCAGCGGGCGTGGGAGAAAAGTGTGTCACTGACACTGTCGTTCGGTTCACACACCACACGAACTAAACTAGCGAGAACTCAAGTTCACGTCTGCCCAGAGGATAGTACAATTTACCAACATAAAAGATTAAAAGAAGCAGCAACTTTTACATAAAATTAATAAGGACAATGAAAAAGAAATTGTCAGTAGCATCTAACTCCTCGATGGGTCTGAACCGCACGACATGAACTAGTCCATCAGTACAGCAGCTAAAATTGGCTTTGGTTCAAGCTTAGTTAAAAAAACACAACATAAAACACACCGCACGTCGAGAAGGCAGGTGGACGTCTGCTGGTCACCCAGCCTGCGGGCCGCTGACCCGGGAGGCGCCTGCGGGTGGGTGGGTGGGGGGGTGAGCTTAGCGAAGCACGACAGGAAGACGGAGCAACAAAAGACCGAGGGGGGACCAAAGTGTTTCTGGCCTTCGAACTGCAGCCACTGCCGACCTGGACGATAGAAAACACACACGCACACGTGACTGCTTGCCGCGCCCCTCCCCACGGCAAGGAGACCCGAGTGCCCAGAACCCCGCTCTCCCCTCCACGGCCCAGCGACCTGAACGGAGTGACCTGCAAGCCCGCAGCCCGTGGCTGGAACTCGGGCAGTGCGGGCTCAGACGGGTGAGGTCAGCGAGCACCTTGGACGCTGGCCGGCCGGGGCTCGCCTGAGTCGGAGAGGCGACCGCACCCTGTGGTTCTGGGGCAGACGCTACACTTAGGACAGGACAGGGGTGGGAAAGGCTCCGACTCCCCTTCACCCTCGCCCCTCTTCACCTGCCGCATGAACCCTTCCTTTTCTGGGGCTCAGTCACACAGCCCAGAAACACCTGCAAACGGTGCCACCAGCTCGCCACCCCCGCCCCTGCCTGCCCAGAAACCTCACTGATGTTAGACCCGCCTCACAGGGCGTCACTGACCCACCCAGGCGAGCCCCGCGGCAACCCCCACAGGGCATGCGGAGTCCCTGCCCAGAGCCCCGCAGAGGCTCTGAGACCCACAGCGGCCAGCACATGCCTAGTCCGTCAGAGGACAAGGACCGTCTCAGGGGCACAGACCTACAAGCTGCCTTGTAGATCTAGGAACAGGAAGTCTGTGGCCAGAGGAGAAGGGGCAGCGACCTCGGACCTGCTCACCAGCCCTCCTGGAGATCAGTCACCAAGGGAGGACAGTCCAGCAGGGCTCCTCCAGAAAACAGAGGAGGGAGGCACGTCCCAGTCTCGGAACGTCCGTTCACCCGGGCCAGGCCGGTCAGGGCGGTCCGCGCGGACCCCTTCCACACAGTGGGACAGACACACACACAGCAACAGCAGGAGCACTTCTCAGGAGACGGGAAGTCGGGAGAGCCACCTGGTCAGGTGTCTGCAGTAGTCTTTGCCCGTGGGCGCGTCCCACCGGCACCTGTGCCCCGCAGGAGGCGGGAGCGGCACTGGTGCACCCGGGGCCCCGGCCTGGGGTCCTTCAAGATCCGAGAGCCACAGTCCAGCAGGAGCCCCTTCCCACACAGAGTGCTCCAAAGGCACCACCCAACAGGGGCGCGGGCAGTGGGGCGTCCGCACATGCCGAGCCTCTTGCATAAGTGGCAAAAGAAAATAACGTCCCAGGACCTCTGTAAGAGTCATAGGGGGCAAGGAAACCAGCAAGAACGTTCCGCAGCTGAGAACACAAGCCCCCTCGACCCCACAGCCCCTCCCCACAGCGGGGGGGCTCACTGACACAGGATCCAGGAGCGAGAGACAAACACATCCAAACTATATACACACAGAAACCACCACAACAGTAATAGTAGAGATACAGTAACACAGGCCTAAGTTGTACCAGTTAAGAAAGGGACCCCCAACGCAATCGATACTATTATAAACACCTTGTTAGGACTTAATGGCCTATACAACAGACCCATAAAAATGATTTTTTTTTAAAGAAAAAAAGGAACTTAGACAAACAAAAACCCCTTCCTACACTGGAATGGTAACCCACCTTCTCTGCTGTCCTGGCTGCTGCAAATGATAAGTAGTGAGTAGTCCTTTCACTTATTTTTTGTTTGTTTTTGATTTTTTTGTTTCTGCTTTTTTTTTTTTTAATTTTTCGTTAGAAAGTTCTCCGATCCATGAAGCAATCCTGAAAAGACAGTGTTTTATTACAAAATTAGGCAAACGCTTCGGGCCTCCATCCTCTTCTTCCGGCAGGTGTCTCTCCTCCTCCTCTTTCCCTCGCCCTCTCTCCGAAGCCAGAGGGGCCCGGCTGGCGCCCGGTCGCGCTGCGTGTGGAAGAGGCGGGCGGCAGCCGCTCACTGCGCCTTGGAGGCGGTGGTGGTGGTGGACGCGGCCCCGCTGGCAGAGGCCACTGTGAAGAGAGAGTTCTGGATGGACTCGGTGGAGGTGGAGGCGGCGTGAAGGCTGGCAACAGGCGCAGAGCTCCCCGCAGAGGCTGCGGCGGCGGAGACCAGGCTGACGGGGTTGCTGGTGAGCAGAGAGAGGTTCTGGGGGTTCAGGAACAGAGGGGCGGTCACGATGTTGGGGGCTCCTCCCGCATTGGCAAAGACCAGGTTCCCAGTCGCATCCAGTGATGTTATTGGAAGAGAGCCACCAGAAGCAAGAGCTACGGACAAACCCCCACCAGGCGGAAGCAGAACGTTAATACTGTCCGGGAGAGGCACCCAATGGACCGGACTCCCCCACAGCCCAGCTGGAAAAGGGCAGCCCCCCGCTGACCGCTGTCCTTAGTCAGAGCGCGGTCTTGTCACCAGCTGAAGGTCTGTCTTGGTTCTGAAAGAGCTGCAAGGCCTGACCAGTCGAGTGACCCCGAGCTAGACGGGGGTCGAGGCGAGGGGACTGTCTAACCCATCAGAGCCGCGTCGCCGGCACAGGACTTCACCTGATGTCGCCCACCTAGAGGCACCTGGTAAACCCCGTCACTTTTCCGGCACAGGTGGCTGACTTCCAACGACCTCCATGCAAACCAGCTCCAGTGAGTAAAGCTCTGAGCGCTGGTTCGCCTTCCTCAGCCCAACCGGCACTGTCAGAAACATGAGCACTTCGTGGTTTCACGCACAGAAAAAAAGCCATCTCTCAAAAGGCTTTAGTTTTAAAATAAATTACATGTTACCGGTCGAGTGTAACACGTGACCAAGCTCGCCCTTCCTGAGGCACAGCACTGGCCCCCACTCTGCATGGAGCGTGGCAGGAGGTGGCGGAGGGACACAGGGCCGAGGCGTGGGTCTCGGTGAGGACCTGCTCAAGGACTGTCTGTAACGATGGTGTCAGCGGGGTTTTCTTTAAAGTGACTCGGTGCCTTCATTTATTAAGTTCTCTTGTTATGTCACAGTCCCCCCAAGTCCCTGGACCCATAAAACCACGCAGATTGGAAGGCTTCCCTGGGCTGTCAAAATTCGGTTCACTTCTCACGTAATGTGTAAAGAAAGCCAGAGGGACCGAGGGGCGGCCCTGACTCGGCCACCGTCACGCGCAGAGTCCACCGTGACAAGACCTGGTGCGTCTGGATGCTCTTTGAGAGCCCAGGCTTAGGGCCACAGATGGGTTCGAGGTCTGCCCGAGAGTCCTGCTCCCCACCCTGTGGTGCACCGCTACTGCGAGAGAACAGGGATTTCCACGGATCTGATTCCAAGGAGAGCCCCTGACTCACAAAAGCCTACGGGCCTCGCCAAGAGCGCAGCACCACCCAGCTCGCGTTTTCCACGGCGCTGCAGGCACATCGTCCCTGCAGTGCGGCCCTTCCCCGACCTGGGCTGACAGCTCCCTGCTCGTCCCAAGAGCTCTCACTCAAGCACAAACCGTCTTCAGTTCGAGAAGAAAACCCTCTGATTCACCCGGCAAGTCTCTCAGACCAGAGCCATGTTCCGACGCACGTGCTGGGGACGCAAGTGAGACGCCACACCAGGTGCGCCCTGCAGGACGGGCCGAGTGAGGGCTTCAGACGTGCTCGAGACTGGGCCATGCGCTAAGGCCCATGGGCGTGGGGACACATTACAGCCCAAGGGTGAGTGTGCTCCAAAAAGCTGGGGCCCCAACAAGTCCTCTCCTTGGGTGGGCTGTCTTAGGGGATCTTAGGGTGGAGGCGAGGGTGGGGGGTTCACCTGGTCCAGTCTGACCCCAGGGTGAGTCTTAGATAACCTTCTCAGGGGGAATTCTGCCCCAGTTCTATGCACCGGAGGAAGTGAGCCCCGGCATGCACGTCCTCACTTCTATGACACACCGAACAAGCGTGTACCTTCTGGACTCGCAGACGTCACCCCCGGCTCCCCACACAGCTGCTTCACAAGGGCCCCTTCCCGGGCCTCACGTCAGTCCACCCATCCATTTCTGCCTCCCCCAGTGACCTCCCGCAGAAGCGCCATACTGACCTTGAATAGTCGCCAGTGTGCTGTTGCTCATCAGAGCCGGGCTGAGCGCGCCGCCCAGGGTCCCTGGGTTGAGGCTGAGTAAGGCACCTCTGCAAGCGAAAGGGGCGGGCGGGTTGTCAGCGCACACCACGCCGCACCCAGGGGGCCAGAGGGGCGGCCAGAGGGCTGGGGGAGCAGGAGGGGCGAGGCTCATCTGCCGCCCCTAGGACACGTGGCACACAAAGCAAACAATCGATGGCCCCTCTTTGCAGCACCTCATTCTCTTTTTCCAAAACAAAAGAAAATGCCAGAAAAGAAAACGTATCTGCAGAGTCATCCTTGGCGCCCGACACTGTAAACGCGGAGCCTGTTGTGGCAGCTCCTCGCCTCCTGGAGAGTCAGGAGGCGGCCAGCTGAGCAGGGGGCTCCCAACAACAATGCGGGCGCCTGGGCTCCGTCGCCGGCCCCACCCCCCAGGCAGGCCGGTGCCTGCTGCCTGGCGTCTCACCTGGAAATACAGGTGTGCCTCCTGCCCTTTCAGACACAAGTCTGCAACATCAACATCCCTAGGCCACTGCAGAGCAGCCCCCTACGAGAGCTCAAGGTGGGAAGAGTGTGCTCTGACCTTCCAGATGAGGACCCTGCTACAAAGTTGCCCGGCCCGCCCTGGGGCCCCTCGGGCGTAGCAGCAGAGGTGAAGCCCTTACCCAGCTGCGAACTGCGACGGGGCCATGAGGCCTGGGCTCAGCCCCGCGGCGGCGGCCATGGCGGCGAGGCTGGCATTGGCTGGCAGCTGCGCGGCTCCGGGCAGGGCGGTGGCTGTGGCTGTCTGGAGTCCTGCCGCCGTCACGGTCACCTGGCCTGTCCCGAGGGCAGAGGGCAGAGGGGTGGAGGCAGTCTGCGTCGTGCTGGTCTCACCGGCGCTGGAGGCCTCAGAGGCCGAGGCGGAGGCCGATGGGGAGGGGCTCAGACAGGGGGGCGTGGCGGCGGGGGCGGCTGCGGGGGCAGTAGAAATCACAGTCGCTGGCGCTGTGCTGTTGGCGGAGGCGTCGGTGGTGCCTGCAGAGACGGCCAGGTCAGTACCCGCACAGCGCTTTCTGCGGCCCTGGTCAGTGCTGCTATGGCAATGACCCGCGAAAACGCTTCAGGACCACAGCTCAGGAAAGAACGAATACACGCAGGGTGCTGGGCAGCTGGACGAAGAAAATGGACATAGGGGTGTGTGGGTGAACACATGGGCCTGTGGAGACAGCTGTGCATCTCACACACACCCACGCATGGGTGTGCACGCTTAGTTCTGCTGAGATGCCCTAAAACAGGGTCCCCCCCCCCCCCGGCCCGAGGACAGGTACTGCTCTGGGCCTGTGAGGAACCTGGCCACGCAGCAGGAGGTAAACTTGAGGGTAATGTGCTAGAATCATCCAGAAACCACCCCCGCCCTCAGGTCCATGGAAAACTGTCTTCCACGAAAGTGGTCCCTGGTGACGGAAGGGGGGACCGCTGGCCTGGGAGCACCACTGAAGCAGTGGTGGGTGTGTCCGGTGCCCACACCCGGCCTCGGAGCACCCTTCCTCACTAAGAGCTTGGACTCTTGGAGAAACGTGAAGGGGAGCCCACGCGTCTTGTGTCGGGGAGAAGGAACCCACTCAGAGAGTGCCAGGGGCGTGCTAAAGGGCACAGGAGCTGATAGGATGCTTGCTGGATGAATGTGGGGCAATTCCACACTGAAACAAAGAGGGGTACCATTCCAACCTGCGGGGCACAAGAGTGTCTGAGTCCATCCTGACAGAGAGAAGGAGAGGGAAGTCCACCCTTAAGTTTAATGGCGGCAGAAAAATGTTTGTTTCCTTTTTATGACGTGATTAGGTCACGGAGCCAAAGAGGTTTTATGAAGTTAGACGTGAGTGCAGATTCAAAATCCCACCTGTGGTTCGGCGGCACATGACCAACCAGAGGTGAGTGACCGCAGGACACCTTTACATCACGTTTCCTTAAAAAGCTTCTGAGGGCAACGCTGTTAATTTTAAGTGTATTTGGGAAATCTGCTATTTCAAAGGAGGCCACAAGGGGAAAAAGTTGTTTATTTTATGGTGAGTGTGTCAGGCACTAAGCAAGAAACAGATTTAAAAAAAAAAATCCAGGTCTTTCACAAAGTCTACTACTGGCAAGGACAGACTAAATTATAAACTATAAATTTATGACACTGGTGGGTAGGAGTGACTAGCTCCTGGGGGAGGTAAAAATACCTGCAGCAGGAATGGCCGGGCACCGGAGCCAGGTCACTCCGGGGCCCCCAGGAAGGCTCAAGGGCTGCGCGGGCCCCCCTCCGAGGCCGCCGCCCTGCCAGGGCGCAGGGGGCAGTGCGAGGAGGCAAGGGGAAGCCAGGGCCGTGGGATTCGCCCTCAGGGAGGCGGAGGGGGTGCGGATGTGGCGTTGGATGCAAAGGCTGCAGTCGGGCTTCTCAGAGGAGTTACCAAAAAGAAGTGGGTGTTGTGAGAGAAAACTGCAGGAGCAGTGCAGAAGTCGAAGTACAGTGAGAAAGAACAAAAAAGATGGTTTTTATGTGAAAGTATTATTTCTGACAAAATTAACTGCGCCTGATTTTTCTGGAGTTCAGGATTTCACATGTAACTTGAAAAAAAGAAGCCCTTCAGAGCTGCATGGCACCGTGTCACGGCAGAGTCTCACGGCACCTCTCACGGGCCACCACCTGCCTAAGTGCTGCAAAGCCAGCGGCGCACCTGGGACGGAGAGGCTGGTCACCGCGGCGCTGGTCAGAGGGAGGACGGGGCTCACAGCGAGGGTGGTGGCTGCGCTGCTGGTCACAAGGCTTGGTGGGGTCGCCACCTAGAGGTCAGAAACGAAAATATGCAAAAGCATTTAAAAATGAAAACTTCACAGTTTTTTAAGTCTGTATTGTAAACTTACTTTGCCTATAAACATTAAAAAAAACTGGCAATATGTTGAGAGGTCCCTTCCCTGATGGCACATGGCTTTGCCCAGGTTTTAGGAAGAAATGATTTAAAAATCTCTCAGTTTTAACACCGTTGACTTTGGTGTAACCCAAGTCAATAAGAAATACTACACCAGTTGTCACCTTAACCTCAACAAGGAAACTATGCAACGAGCCCAGCCCAGCGAATCTCAGCTCCTTGTTTTGTTTCAGTTTTGACTTGGGGGCGGGGGCAAGACTGTCCTGTTTCTGTTCTTGATGAAAGGATGACATGGAACGAACACGAAACAAATGTTTAAATACTGACAGTATCTCTCTGAAACAACATCAAGTGCTTCTACAGTGTTGTAAGAAACCCCATTCTCATTCCAGGACAAGCGAGTCCCGAACACACTGCTCAGCCGCCTGTGCACCGCGCCCCCCACCGCCTCGGCTGCCCGTCACCCGCACCTGCCCTCCGCCCCCCTGCATTGGCACTGCGGACCTGCGTCTTGACAGCCTCCCGGTGCAGGGCGACATGCAGACAAAATAAAGCCAGTGCACAAGGAAGGGTCAGGGGCGTACCCTCGGTCTCCCCACTGCTGGGGACGTGGTCTGACGTGTGCAGTCTCCTTCATGTCACCCTAAAGGTCAGAGGCGTCACACGGACACCCCGTGTCCCTTCAGTCTAGGAAGATGGCCCTAAGAATCTGAACAGCGAGGCTCTAAACGCAAGGCCACGGGTCTGAGAGTGAAGACCCGAGGTGACCATTCTCATACAAGTTCAGAGCTCTTCCTGAACAAAGGCCACCCGGGAACTGGCCGTCCCTTCGTCACAGGGTGTGAGTTTAATGCACTGGGCTTTAGAGCTCAACCTGAATGAAGGGCCGTGAACAGTTTCTCAACTAGCAACACGCAGCAGCGAACCTCCGCAGCGAGAACCACCTGAAAAGCTGCACTGGAGAAGAGCGCAGTGGAAACGCCGTGGAATGGGGAGAACCGAAATCGTTCCCTTGAAAAAGGAAAGACAGACGAGTTCTTGGTTTAACAGCGTGAGGCTTCATTGCTTTGATAGCATCTGAAACACGAATGTGCACACGCCCCTTCGGCACAGACAGATGCACCACACACTCTGTGATGGACTCCGTGGAGCGGACAGGTCACCTGTAAACTGAAAACGAACCCGCGCGGCCCCGTGCCCCCACGCACCAGTGAGGTCGGGCTGGGGAAAACCGCCTTGATGGGCGAGCTGCTGGTCCCGCTGCTGCTGGGCGGGTTGATCCGCTTCTCCTTCTGGCGGCGGTTACAAAACCACACGCGGATCACCTCCTTCTCCATGTTGAGCTGCTCGGCGATCATGGTGATCTCCTCCGAGGTAGGCTTTTGATTCTGCAAAGGAAAGGCACCTTTGGACTCCGCCTCCGAACTCCTGGGTCAGGCCCCCGTCACCAGACCTCCGATGAATGAACACGTGTTTATTAGTCATTCTGTTAGCTTCGAATAAGTTATTCTTCAATGTTTGCATTTCTTCCTTTCAAAGACTGTCGACCTTGACTAAAATCAACGGTCTCTACAGCCTGCTGTGTCAGCAGGGATCGGAGGGCTTTCTGGGGGCCTGATGCATGCGACCTCGGCTGGGCGACGGCTGGGCCTGTGGGTGTGACAGGAGGTGTCTCCCAGGAAGAGGGGCCGCAGCCTCAGGACTCAGGGCCTGGCCAGTGACACACGGGCACCGAGTGGCAGACACCACAGACTCCTGACTCAGTGCTCCTTCCCCTGTGCTCAAGCCTCTCGGGATGAGAGTCCAAGTTGTGTTGGAAACTTTGATTGTACTCCTTGCTACAAAAAAAGTGCCAAAAGTCTGCTGACTTTACCTGAGCAACAGCCTGACGTGGGAGGCCCTCGGGGCTCTGACCCCACAGTGCCGTGGTACACACAGGCGCCACAAGGCGGCCAGACAGGCCACCGCGCTTGCCCTGGGAGCCTCTGCGCTCAGGCCGCCTGTCCCACGGAGGGCTCCGGGGACGCGGGCATCCTCGTCCCATCGGCGTGTCCTTTCCTCCAGCAGCCCCCACGCCACGCCGACAACCTCGGCACGCGAGAAGGGGACCCCCACTAACCTCCAGGAAGCTCTTCTCTAAGGCCACTCGAATGTTGGTCTCTATGCTGGTGCGCTTCTTCCTCCGGCGGTTCAAGCCCTCAATCCCCTGCCCCGGAGAACTCAGGGCACTAGGGCTGGAGAGGGCTGAATCGGACGAGAGGTTCTCTGTGCGGGAACAGAAAAGGCGGTTGGAGGGGCTGAGCATGTGCACCTCACGCGTGTAACACACACACACACTAACACAACAACAAAGGTGACCCAGCCATTTCAAGCTGCAGGCAAGTGTGCAAAGGCTCTCATGACCTGCGAGAAAACACAGCTGCCCCCAGTATCCCTCTGCCGCTCTGGTGGGTGCCTGCCACCACGCCCTCTGACCCCTGCGCCTGAGAACTAGGGATGGACCCTTTCTGTTCTCCCACTCAGCTCAACCTCTGCGGAGTTCTGCTCTCCTGTTTTGGTTTTGCTTGCTTATTTATTATTTATTAGCTCCAGAAATAAAACTTGTTGGAAGTTACCAAACATTTACTGTTTATCTTGCCAATGACCTCTCATTTTATTAGTAAAACGTAGGGCATCAACTCTCTAAAAACATCTGAACTCATGGAAGCTAGAAGAAGGCTCCGTCGTGCAGTAGCAGAGCGGCCCTGGGGATCCTCCACTCCGTGGAGGTGGGGGGAGGGGCAGAGCAGCGCCCTCAGCAGGGAGCTCAGTGAGGTCTCAGAGCCACGCGTGGCCCCAGACTGTCCATGCGTGGGGGCTGCAGGGGTGTCTTTTCCAAACACCTGGTCGTGTCCACAGCTAAATGAGAGCCCTCGTCTGGGGTTTCCGTGCTTCCTTACAGAGCTCACAGCCTGTGACTCTGCACCTCAAACTCTAGATTTTCCAAAAGGAAACCTCAGCATAAAACACACAAGTCAAGGCCCTGGCTGGTGTAGCTCAGTGGATTGAGTGCGGGCCTAGGAATCAAGCAACCATGGTTCGATTCCCAGTCAGGGCACATGCCTGGGTTGCAGGCCAGTTCCCAGCAGGGGACACACAAGATGCAACCATACATTGATATCTCTCTCCCTTTCTCCTTCCTTCCCCCTCTAAAGATAAATAAATAAAATCTTTAAAAAAAAAAAAAAACACAAGTCAAAACCAGCCCCGGCAGGTGTGGCTCAGTGGACTGAGCGCTGGCCTGGGAACCAAAGGGTCGCTGGTCCGATTCCTAGTCAGGCCATATGCCTGGGCTGCAGGCCGGGTCCCCAGTTGGGGGCACACAAGAGGCAACCACACATTGGTGTTTCCCTCTCTTCCTCCCTCCCTTCCCCTCTCTCTAAAAATAAGTAAGATCTTTAAAAAAGAAATGAAAAAATGAGCTGCTCAACTTCTTATGCATGAAATACGTGGTCATTTTTAGTAACAAGCAGAAATATTTTTAAGAGTACATTTATTATAATTCATTGAAGAAAAATCAATAAACCTGACTTTCGAGTTTACCTAAATGCATAGGCCTTCTCTCCTTTTCACTCCGCAATCCCCAACCCTGGCTCAAATTCGAGAACTATTCCAAGGCTGGGATTGTTGGTGACTGTGTGCACTGCAATCACTATTTAAACAAACTGGCGCTCTGATTTATGGAGCATTATTTACACAGATGCTCCGAGACTGGCTGCGCGCTTCCAGATTCTGTAGAGCCACTAAGGCAACACAAAATACAAACCCTGATTACACAACAACCCCCTGAACGATGCCCATGGACAGCGGGGCCATTTCTCACCTGCATCGTTGAGCCACTTCTCCAAGAGAGGCTTTAACTTGCACATGTTCTTAAAGCTGAGGTTCAAGGCTTCGAAGCGTGAGATGGTGGTCTGGCTGAAGTCATTCCCGTACAGTTTGCCCATAGCGAGCCCAACGTCGCCCTGCACGGGAACACGGAGCAGGGGGAGGGGACACGGGAAGATGGAGTCGGCTCACTGACACTGAGGCCTTCCCTCCGCAGTGCCCTTCCAGACGGAGATCCCCCACTGACCCCTCTGCGAGCTCCCACAGCGACACCCATCCCTGAGCGGGTCCCTGTGGCCAGGGAGGACGTCAGGCCCCGATCCTGACGACAATCAAAATCACCCCGGACTCTCTCCATGTCGAATCTCTTCTTGCCACCTCTGCGCCGACATGCGGCACTGAGAACACCAGACCCTCTTGCCACCATGGTGCTGATACTCTGACAAGCCCCTTACTGGTGTAACCAAAGTGACTGCAGTAATCTGGAGGCAAGTTCAGTTTACCTGCCCCACCTGCAGGGTTAACAGACAACTGCCTACAGAACTTCGGAAGTTTCTGCACTAACCAAACTTCCCATAAATCACTTTAAAATCTAGAAATGATGCCTAGTTCTTTTTTCGCCCCTGTAAAGTATTTCTGGGAGCACTGAAAAAATCTATTTTCCACCCTTAGTTTGGATTTCAAAGTTGGTTACAAAAAACAGGTATTCTAAAAGACTACTTTTATAACTGTTATGGAGATAAAAATTCACAGTAGAGAAGTTTGACCCATTTAGGAAAACCTTCATGGGCACGGAAACTCAGTCATCTCACAGCACCGGAACAATGGTACCCTGAATATATTACAAAGATGCCTTTCTCCATAAGCCTGTAACCTTTGAATGTACACAGTTCTTTTCTCCCAGCTGAGTCTCTCTTATTAAAGCTGGAATAGGCCACATCTTAGTAGTTATTTTTTGTAGAGGTAACAGAAGCTCCTGGAGTTTAAATGGTTCACCCTCTCACTGCCACTAGGCCAGTGACAGGTCCGGAGGCGTCGCCTCTGGTCCAGAGGCTGCGGTGCTAACTCTGCCGTGGGACGGCCCACACCAAGCTACTGCCAGCTCCCACTGTGACTGGGCTGTCCCGGGCCCCTGGTTCCCCTAGGAGCCATCTTTTGGACACTACACTGTTTATTAGCCCCTGTGCTGGGTGGTAGTCAGGGAAAGGAAAGGCCATTTTAACTCCATTTTCTTACTGGGAAACCACTCTGACAGTTTAACAGAGGGGAGATGGTGGACCCGAAGGGTGAAACGCGGCACTGAGAACACCAGACCGTCCCCTGATCTCCAACCTGGGCCTTCCCGTAGGACAGCCGCCGGCCACAGGTGGCTATGCAGATGTCCACTAATTCAGCTCAAGTAAAGGAAGTCCCTTGTGGACAGTGGCTGTCCTGTGGCTGACAGACCCGTGTGACGGGCCGCTCCCGCCCCCCCCAGCATTGCGGCGCCGGTCTCTGGGCCCGGGGCGGAGGCCCACGGATCTCCGTCCAGTTACAAAGAAGCTGCCAGAGCAGCGGGCGGGCGTAAGCGTGACATCGCCCTCCAGGCAGACGCTCACCCGTGTGGAGTCTGGGCACGGACGCGGTCGGCGAGTGCGCACGGGGTGCCCCCTCTGCGTCAGACTCCAGACCACGCTCGTGTCCCAGACAGTCATGTCTGGGTCACTCTGCTTACACTGGAGCCTCCAGAAAACGGGCGTCGGGCAGACTGTGCAGCTCTCTGAACGCCAGGCCTGCTCTCGCACTTGAGATGGCCAGGCACGTTTCTGACCTTGCAGCAGGACTTCACAGTTCACTAAGAATTTTTTCACAAACATCTACAATGTCTTTCTATGAAAAGCAACAATAGTGACGAGCAAACAACAACTAAAAGACTGTTCAAAAATCACATCATAGCGAGAACGGACAAAGCCTTAAGCTGGTGGCCATGCCATCAACTAAGTAAAACTATGGTGACAAATGACCACAACCTGAACAAGATTTACAGCCCAGTCTCACTTCGCATTCAAATTACTTCCCTGAGTAAAAGCAGCAGGAAGGGTGCGCGGCTCCGCCCCGGTGCACCCCTCACAGCAGCTGCGTGTGGAGCGGCAGCCCATACACAATTTGGAACTGCATCTACGCCTTGATGTGTTTCAAAAAGCAAATGGAAAAGGGAAGGAAGACCAGGGCTGGGAAACGAGGAGGGGTCCCGTGGGAGACAGCGGTGGCTCCTGAGCAGGTGATGGCCCCCACAGTGACCCTTCTGTAGCCAGTGAGGGGGTCAGAAAACACCCAGCAACCTGGGTGTTTACTCAGAGAAGAGGGACGTCTGTGCTTCACCTGGTAACGTGCGTACTGCGTGTGAATAAAATGAGTACAAGCTCCGACACCACGACTGGGCCCCAAACTTCAACCAAGAGTGAATTCCCCGCGAGCACCTGTGGCTGGTGCTTCAGTCCACATGCTCAGAGCCAGTGAGCCACTGCTGCGGCCAAGTCATCTTGGAGGTGTGGAGAGTCACACCAAGTCACAGGACAGAACCATGAAGCAGCACACCAGACTGCAGGGAAGTTCCTCCATGAGAGACAGACAGACAGACACAACACTGGCAACATGGTGGTCAGGCGAACCACCACCTGAGTAAATGAGTGAGATTTTGAAAAGCCTTTCCACCCTGGGCACATCGCTTTGGCAACAGTCTCCTAGGGAACGCGTGGGCGGGAACGCGCGGCCATGCTGTGCTCATGGCCTCAAGCCCAAGCACTGAGAACCTGCCAACCAGACACTTAGCTGAAGCTCGTTAACAAGCACCGACCCATCTCACCGCATCTTCCGTTTGTTTTAAGAATGCGCCAGATCGTTGGACGTTTCAATCTTTCTCAGCTGCTGTTTGTTTTTTCACAGCTGAAACGCCTCACAAATACTTAACTGCATTCTATCTAAAATTACATCTACTTAAAAAATCATTTTACATTCCTAATACGTAATTCATTTCTTTGAGCGAAAATAAACTATCCAAGAAATAGAAGGAGTAGAGTCTGTTCCCAGTACCACCCAGAGCACATCGGGAGGCTCCCGGGGCCCAGCCACCCCAGCGGGGCCGCTTCACTGCACCTGCAGCCTGAGGCGCGTGGATGGAGCCCGGGCGGCCGAGGTCTCCGGCAGTGACCGTGCGCTCCGGTTTCCCCGATGCCACGAAAACGCCTGGTCCGATCCACGCGTCAGTCACTTTTCCACCCCCTTATGTAAATACTCTACTCCTTTCCCCGCTTTAGAAGCATTATTTGTAAGGCTAATCAACGAGCAATTAAGTCAGTGGCAGTACTGTACACTGAGACTCCTGTTTAAATCACCCCACGTACTCTACTTTGAAAGCCCTCCGTTACGTGACATGAACGAAGTTAACCTGGGTTTTGATCTGGATTTTTCGCTCCCGGACTCTCGCGTCGGTAATGTGTTTCAGGCTCGCTCGCTGTGCGCATGGGTCTGTGTGCGTGTGCGTCTCTGCCCGCCCTCCACTCCCCAAAACGGTGGCAGGCACGTCTCTCGACCCGTCAGCTCCTAGCGAGACCCTGCAACCTGGGGCCTCTCGACCTCACACACACAGCAGTGAGGTCCAAACCAGGCCTCCTTCCGGGGACAAAACCCTCGGCAGAGGCACCTCAGTCCCTAGTGGGACCTTTTAAACTCGCACCTACTGGCTGGTGCAGGGTCACCTCACAGGCCTGTGTTCTGAGAGGTTTTAACTGAAACCGCAGATCTACAGCCACGCAGGCACACTGGTCTGTTCTCATACACGCAGGAGAAATTCACATCCTGACAGACACGGGAGGCCGAGGACGGAAACCTAAGCTGAGAGCGGGCTCATCCTACCTGAGTGAATCCCAGTTTGATTCGTCTTTGTTTGAAGGTCTTGGCAAACTGCTCAAGCTCCTCCAGGTCACTGGGCTCCTCCAAGCTGGGAGTGTCGATGCGCTTTGGTGTCGCCTGGCTCTGTGGAAGTGTCTGAATCGGAGTCGCAGCTATTGTGCGTGTCGGGGTTGCTGGCTGTTCGGGAGGGAGCAGGGGTCAGAACAGACACAAAGAAAGGGGTTTAGGCTGCGGCTGGAACGTGCAGCAAGTACCCAGCCGAAGGTAACAGCGGCAGTGGGGGAGGCCGCTGAAGACCCCATAATACAGGGAAGCCCAATGTCACGTTCATCAAGTAAAGCAGAGGGTGCAATTATGTCCACTATATTCACAGGTAAGGTTAAACTGCAAGTATACATAAGGAACCAGACCACCCAAAAATGAAGCCCAGTATATTCGAGTTTTCAAATGGTCTGAATACATGTACTTTATGCCTTTTAATAGATTCGTCATTTTTTAAAAGATTTAGCTTGTTTTTTGAGACAGGAAGGAAGGGAGAAAGAGAAGGACAGAACCATCCATGCGCAGTTGCCTTTCGCTCATCCCCTGCTGGGGAACTGCCCCGCGACCCAGGCATGTGCCCTGACTGGGAATCGAACTGGCAACCCTTTGATTCACAGGCTGAGTCCACTGAACCACACCAGCCAGAGCTCAGTCTCAGTAATTATTTCCGAAGGCTGACAGAGGTAATGCTCTCATAGTTCACTGGACAATTCCTTCACTGCTAGACGCTTTTTGTCTTCGCTAACACAGGCACCACCACAAGGAGCAATGCTGTGTGTGCGGCTCCTTCTGCACCTCTGGGCTCCGTTCAAGATACAGTCATGGCGCACTTCCTGTAGCAGACGAGTTCAGAGCAGACAGCACCTTCTGGCCCCAGCGCTCACCTGAGTGGCTTTCCAAACAGCTGCCAATCGGGGGGAAGGGTGCCCACCATTGCCCTCATTCCTAGTCCTCTTCTCACACAGTCACAGTCTCCCCAAGTGTGAGTTTTTATGCCTCCTTTGAAGTGAACTAGCTTTACATCTGAACCCATTTATATACTAATATTCTCATTTTCATCCTTCAAGAGCTCATCAAATGTTAATTCTGTGTTGTATCGATGCAAATTTCTCCAATCTGCTTTTCCCTTTTACTTTTCAACGTAAGTTTTAAATTAACAAAACAAAAAAGGTAAACTTTTATCCTTTTTAATATCATCTGTTGTTTCAAATCTGGGGAAACTTTCACTTATTTGTAACTGGGATAAAATTTCTTCTAAATATTTAACTACTGGAATCCGTCTAAAGCTTATCTGGAAATGTGAAATGTCCTTATTGAACAAACACAAGCCCTGAGCAGCCCCTGCTGAGTGTCACCGGTGTCAGCCTCTATGGCCCCGCTGACCTTTCCCAGGAACCTCGCCAGGGGAGCCAGCGAGCGAGCGAGCGAGCGACCACAGGCCAGGGGCACATACCAAGTCTGGGGCTGTTTCCTCCTGCAGGTTGAACGAGTCACACACCCTTTGCTTGGCCCTCACGAGTAACACGCTCTCTCCAGCTGAGCTAACCAGCCTGGAAAACCACGCGGCGGGATTCCACAGCCTTCAGGGGTGAGCCCCACCCCCCTGCTTCGGCATGCAACACCAGTAATGTTAACCTGGCCGTCTTGGAGGGGCCCCAAGGAGCAACCACTGCATCAGACACCCATGCAGCTGTACACCGCCTGGCCAGACGGTTACTTCATTTCTAGGCTTGAGGACGGGAATAAAAAAGGACTAAAAACTGCTTGGGTCCATTTAGGTGGCGTGGTTACAGACATGGTACCCCAGCTCCGGAAGCCCAAGGCCAGGCTGGCCCAGACTGGCAGGTGCCACCGTGGAGCTTAGGGGTGGGGCGTGATGTACCCAACTGCCACCGTGTGCAGAGCACACAGGCTGGGCGGGAGTTGCTCATGTGGGCTCTTCTCAAAACTCCAGCCTTTTTCTGCTCAGGACATCCACAGCGACACACACACAATGGCAGGTGGAATTCAGGAGACTCCCATCTCCCCAAACTCCCAGTGCCTGCCCCGCCCCGCCCGGTGACCCTGACAGGCCCAGACCTAAAAACTGTCATCCGGCGGGCAGTCTTTTCTGTTTGGCCTCTTTCTCTCACATAATGCTTCTGAAACCCATCCACGGCGTTAACTGCAGCAAAGCGCATTTCTTGCCACTGCTGCGCGTTACATGGATGTGCCAAATGCTGTGCTACCTGTTCACCTGCTGATGGGCATTGTGGTTGTTTCCGTTTGTAGTGACCATGAAGAAAACCGCTACAAACGTTTACATACCAGGTTTGATGGACACAGATGATTTCATTCCCAGGAGCAGAACTGCTAGGTCAGAAGACACATTGATATTTAACTTGATAAGAAACTGGCAAGCTGCCCGAGCTGGTGTAGCTCAGTGGATTGAGCTCTAGCCTGTGAACCCAAAGAGTTGTCAGTTCAATTCCCAGTCAGGACACATGCCTGGATTTCAGGCCAGGTCCCCAGTAGGGGGCGCGTGAGAGGTAACTACACACTGATGTTTCTCTCCCTCCTTTACCTTCCCTCTAAAGATAATTTTAAAAAAAGAGGAAGAAACCAACCAACTACCGTTTTCCAAAGCAACTGTATCATTTTGCAACCCCCTGGCTGTGTGAGAGCAGCAGCCACTTTGCCTCCCTGCCGCCCTGGCTGGCGTCGTCTTTCCCACCCTGCCCGTTCTGACGCTGTCTGGTGACATCCACACCCCCCAACGACTAATGCCTGGGGCGCCCTTTCCAGTGCTTACCAGGCATTCACACACCTCCTTTGGTAAAGGACCTTCAAATATTCTTTATACTCCCTTTTTAAAATATCACGTTATCACATTACTGAGCTGTATGGGCTCATTATATTTCCAGAAATGAGTCTTTTAGCAGATGTAAGTTTTAAGAATATATTCTTCCAGCCTGTAGCTATTTTTTTCTTTTAACAAAATTTTTGCTTTTTGCAAAATTAAACTTACCAATATTTTTCTTTGATGGTTAGTGCTTTCCGAGCCCCACATAGGGAGTTATCGCTTTACCCCAGGACACAAAGGCCCCCCCCAAGTTCCCTCTCACAAGTCCACGCCTTCCACCCCCTTCATACCAATCTCTGCTCTGCGAGAAGCAGCGCAGGGCTCTTGCCTGCACAGAAGGGCGGCCGACGGCCGCAGCACCACGTGTCGGGAAGACTTTGCTTTTCCCACTGAGACCGTGGGGGCTGCGCGGACAGTCGGTCAGCCACAGACATGTGGGCCCCGGGCCCTCCCTCTGCTCTGTTCCTGCCCACGTGTCAGTGCCACACTGTCTTCCTCACTGCCGGCCATACAAACAGTTCTCTGCGCCAGGCGGTCCCTCCACTCTCGTGCTTCTCAAAACTGCCTGACTAGTCTGCGCCCTCCGCACTTCTGCACAGACGTCAGAAACGGGGCGCCCTCTCCCGACGGGAGAGCCAGCGGGGCGCTGACCGAAGCTGTGTGGGGTACAGTGCCCTGTCTGTCAGTCTGGAGAGGACTCTCCCGATTCACGAGCACATCAGGTCTCTCCATTAATCTGTGTCTCCTTTCATTTCACTGAGCAACATTTTGTAGTTTTCAATGTAAAGATCTTACAAATATTTGTTAAGTTTATGCCTAGGTACTATAAATACTTTTTCTTAATTTCAGTTTCCAAATGACCGGGAGAGCACATGGGTTTTTCTGCGTATCAACTTTGTACCCTACGTACCTACTAAAGTCGGGTAACTCCAGCAGCCTGTGTGTGCCTTCCCTCGGGTGTTCTTCCTACATGGGCAATCGTGCAGTCCACCCACCAAGCGTTTGCTCCTTCTTTCCCACCTGCATCCTGTATTCCCTTTCCTGGTGTTACTCCATTGCTGGGAACCTCAGGACGAGGGTGAGTGGGCATGCACACTCTTCATGATGCTGGGTTTTTGGTAGGTGCCTTTGACCAGATTAAAAAAGTCCCCTTCTGTTCCAAGTGTGCAAGCGCTCTTATCCTCAACAGAATTTGAGTTGTGTAGAACCTGGTGATGTGTTAGGAAGCAGTGGACCCTTCCATGACTACAGACAGAGTCAGAGCTGGAGGGGCTCCAGGGCCACCAGTTCAGAGTGCCACCTAATGGACAGGTGCAGAAGTGCAGCCCCAGAAGTGAACCAGGCTCAGTCCAGGCTAGAGGAGCACACCTGGTCTAGCATTCCGTGTTCGGGGCCCAGACTGGTGCTTTCATATGGCTACATTGCGGTAGAAGTGAGCTAAAGCAACACCGGAAGATCGAGAGGAAAGACAACACAGGGGTCAGAGCTCCTCTGCAGCTTCCGAGAAAGGGCCGAGGACGGCACTGGCCCTCCTGGAGGTAGCGGGCCTCCGGGTCACGGGGCAGTCTCTAGGACAACGTGGGGGCTGGGGTCAAACAGCCGGAGCTCAGTACGCACTTGCCACTAACAGTGTCATTCTTTACAAGCGTGTAAGAAAACAGGGACTCTGTGAAGATTTTCAAAGACTATACCAATTTGTTGGTGTTGCTTTATCAAGCTGAGAAGCCCAGCTTTGAATTTTTAATCAGATTTTGAATACCAGGATTATTTTAATTAGGATGTTCTGGGGTTCGTAAGTGCGAGTTTAACTGGACAAAGCCTAAAAGTCCCTGAAAACCGCAGGACGGGAGGAGGCAGATCCCCGGGAGGTGCTGACCTGGGAGGTGAGCGCGATGCCGGGCTGCGACTGCAGGAGGTTGGCTTGGCTTTGCTGAGGTAGTTGCGTTAAAAGGTTCTGCGCTTGCAGGAGACCTGTTAAAACACAACACGTTACGCTAGGAACATCAAGCACTACTGTGAACATACAGTTTTAAAAAAAAAGAACAAGACAGTGAAGAGGAAATTTCCAGTGGACCTCCTGATAGTCTCATTGGCCTTAAAACTCTCAGTATCTTCCCTGCCTGACTGAAGTTCAACCTGGTTACCATGACCTAGGCAGCAAGACACGACGCGCTGCACTGAGACTGCCGGGTCCCAGTGTGGCCTGCATGCCCTCTGCCTGGCCGCCTCTCTGCTCGGAGAGGAATGGAGGGCCGTGAAGAGGACTCTGGACACCCAGGAGCTCAGCCTCGCACCCAGAGGCCGTCACAAATGGCCAGAGAGCTGTCTGGTTCACGAGGGGCGGGTGCCCCCGTGGGGGAAGCAGGCAGGCACTGGTACAGCAGAAGTCTCTGGAGTGAGCCGTCAAGAAAGAAGGCTACAAAGCAGACGACAAGGAATCGGGGAGAAGCGCTCGTGTCCCTTGGGTGGAAGCCTGGCCACCTTGACACCCTCTTCACTGACTCCATTAACTAGCTTCACAGACATGAGTGAACTCATCGCTGACCAACCTTCGGTCTTTACAATTCACAAAATGTGCACAACTTCTAATGTAAGGCCTTCTCCTCGTCAAACAAATGGCTGCTGGAAGCGTCCTCACCCCGTGCTCGGCCCCCAACACGCGCCCTAGATATCTGCCCCAGAGCCAGGAGCAACTGCTCCTGGCAACTGCTGAGCGATTTCACTCAGACTTGTAGCCAAACCCTCGGTTTTCTCCCTGGTGATTAAAGAGACGAATGGCTGTGAGGGACTGCCTTCAATATTGCGGCATGTGTGACTAAGCACGTTTTTAACACGAATACCGAGTGTAAGGTCGGTCAAGTTCAGCGGCAAGACCGCTCCCCCGGCCATGGGGGGCTGGGCGCGGGCTCACCCTGCTGGCCCTGGGGCGTCTGGGAGATGATGAACTGTGCGGGCTGCAGGTTGGTGGTCGGGTGCACCAGCACGAACTGCTGCAGGTTGAGGTTCTGCTGCTGGAGCTGCTGGAGCTGCTGCAAGTCCTGCAACATGAGGGTCAGAGCGGAGGTTGGAGACACGGGGAGGCGAGCTCCGCGGCTGGGCTCCCGGGCGGTCCCATCCCCACGCGGCAGAGGCCCGGCCCCGCCCTGCGCCCCATACGTGCAGACCAGCGCCTCTGCGGTACAGCCCAAAGAGCGGCCAGACCCTGGGGCCCTCAAGGGTCATTTTCCTCGGCGAGCGGTGTGTGATTACTCCAAGCCTGATTTCCAACAGTTATTTAAAGTTCCCACAGAATAAATGGTCAGAGTTGTGTGTTTTGATGTGTAGAGACCAAGATGGGTTTTAACAATTAGGTGAGAAAAGAATGTTGAGTTTTTAAATAGTTGACTGATTTTTCTCTGAAGTAAAAATTAAGAGTGCTCTCTGAATTTGCATAAAGAAATTTAAAAATCTATTATGATTTATTAATTCAGTACCAGCCTATTGAACTTAGCAATCACTGTAAAAAATTTTAAGTTATGCATATAAAAACCTGGTCCATAACCTGTCAGTATCCCCTTACATGGGCTTAGGATTTAAAACTGTCAATGACCATCCACTTACTAATCTTGCTAGTAAGTGTCAGCGCCGGGGCTCCCAACGCAGGGCCTCCTAGCATGCCCCCGGGGATAAGAGAAGTGGCCACAGGAAGACGCCACCTTGACAGAGACTGTCTGTAACAGTCCCCAAGGTCAGTCTGACACCCACTCCTCACTCCCCTAGTTCGCTGCTTCTTTCTGACGTCACAGTGACGTCCGTGTCCGAGGCCGCCCAGTGGGGGGAACACAACAGTCTGGCACGAGGCTCGTAACAGCGTCCACAGGTGTTACTGACATGACTGCTCACTCTCTCTTCCTGTCCTTGAGGTAAAGGGTCGAGTTCACCTTCCTCCCTGCTTGTACTGCCTATGCCTCTTCAAAATTTTATTATATCTAGCTACTTTGCCCTAAAATGTGAAAAATGAAAGCAAACTACATCCCAACACAGTTCTGCACCAAGCTCATCGCTCGGCCGTGGGGACAACTCGCCAGCACTCACATGCTGGCTGCCTTCCCTGGGGCACAGGAGAGCACCCAAGGCTGCCATAATGGGCTAATTAAAACCACTACGGTAATCCCCTGCTTCCGATATGTGCTAGCCAATTATTCAAAAATCATCAGTTAATATGAACAGCTGTTCAAATAATCACTTACGTGTTTGTAATATCACAACTCAGATAAGCAAACAAATGTACCATTTCTAGGTCAGTGTCAGGGAAGGCCACCACTCGCCCCAATGATCTGGAGTTCCCCAGGCCTGTAAGGGCCCAAGCAGTGTTCAGGGAGCGGGTCTGTGTGCCACGGAAGTGGAGCTGCCTTCCCAGGCCCCGCCACCTGCCCGGCCATGAGGGCTCCCCACTCACCTGTGCAATCTGTATGGGCTGAGACAGGGGGATCTGCGTCATGGGCGTGGCGGCGGAGGCGGAGATGGTGGCCCCCGCGGCGCTGTGCTGCTGGCTGGCAGAGTGCTGCTGCACGGCGGCGGCCAGCAGCTGGGCCTGGGCCTGGGCCTGCTGCAGAAGCAGCTGTTGCTGGGCCGGCGTTAGAGCGAGCTGGACAAAACCAGGACAGACAAGTCAGGGGACTGCGGAGAGGGGCCCCTGAAGCAAGCCCATGGCTCCAAAGTAGGAAACTCAAGAGCCTGAGACCTTAGCCACCAACCTCACGTGACACGCCCGAGGCTGACACGGTCAGCAGAGATCGAGCTACCATTACTAGCGGGGTGCTTACAGGAAAATGGTGGACCTCACTTTGGACCTAATCGCTCAGACTTGTCCAGCGCCCTAGGGTTCAGGCAAAGAAAGTAATTAACTAGTAGGCAAGAAGAAAAAGAATAATCACTGTGGACAGGATGTGAAAAGAAACTGACACCCAACAGAACAGCAGGTGATGAGTCTGATGAGTAAGAACCCCGGGAAGGACTGATAAGGCCCAGCGGGTCCCCTCGCAGGAGTCACGCCACGTCCCCGCGTGCCCGTTACATCGGAAGAAGTGACTGGAGGACACGTGCTACGTTTGTCTCTTCCCCACACCTCCAGAGGCTCCCTCCCAACACAGCCTTTCTGCCCGGGAAAGCAGTGGGTCTCTGGGACCGCACCCCCTTTCCACACATCATCTCTGAGAAACGGGTGGTGACAGCTACTCTCTCCATATGCAAATGAGTCCTCCTAATGCCCAGGTTTAACAGAGGTTCCAGCCACATAAACCTAGAATCCCAAGTGTCTCTCACACTATGAGACACTCGTCACCCAGAGCCAAGCTCTGGCAGGGACACAGGAAATGCATTCAGAGCAGATCTAAACCGGCTCTCCTGATGCCCCTCACTTCAAGCACACGCCCGGTGATCGGCGTGCTCTCTGTCCTTCTCGGAGACTCACGCTGCCCGCAGGCTGCCCCAGCGAGGGGAGCGCTGTCCTGTCCGAGGAGTGAGCGCTGGCACTCAGGGGCTCCCCTCCTCCTATGGGGTCCCGCACCCCTGTGCCTTAGAGACAGAATCAGAGTCAAGCTCTTCAAAACTCGGCACCTCAAGATATGTTTACAGAGACTTTACACAACATATAAACAAGTGTTAATCTCTGCTAAATGGATTCCGTAAACAATTTTGGAATAATACTTACAAGAGCCTCCCAATGCCAAATGAAAATGAAGACTATAAAAAAATGTGTGGCCTGATGTGAAACTGAATAATAAATAACTCTACCTTGCCACTCCCCAAACCCCTCCCCAAAAGATAATAGAGGAATTTTCAGCACTGTAAAAATATGTAAATGGTGCCTTAGAGTAAAGAGAGATGAAAAGTTCAAAGCTCAAGACGGACATAAGCCGACATGGGATCGGTCAGAATAAACGGCACCTGCTGAGTGCCACTGAGTGGTAGTGCCCAGGACCGTCCTCCGAGTCTGGCTCGCCACCGCCCTCACTCTTCGCAACAATGCTGAGGCCTGGGCACCACTTGACGCCCGCACTGAACCGAAAGCCCAGGCACAGGGAGACACTGACCAGCCCAGACAGCAGAGTGCAGAGCCAGAATGTGAGAGGAGAGGTTTCATTTTAGAGCATCACACAGTAACTTAAAACATTTTCCTTTTGCAGGCTCTAATCTGGTCTTGAACTTCTGCTCCACAGTGATGTTGTAACTCAAACTGACAGCTACGATCTCATCCAGAAAGGAGTCTCAACCATAGGGCAGCAACTTCCCCGCGTGACAAAGCCACAGTTGAAACGCAGGCTTAAAAAAAGCCCTTTGTTTCCCCAGAGCATCTGCACTTGTAAGAAAAGACACCCTGAAAACAAAAGAAAACCCCCTTTTTAGAGCTGCCTCCAGCGCAAGAAGTTCCTGGAAGCTGTGTGCACGCCAGGCACAGCCGGGACCGCTTGCTGCCTGTTGCAGGGGAGCTCCTGCCAGACCCCGGCCAGGGACCGTCCGACCGGACAGGGGAAGGCCAGCACGGTGCTCTCAGGGACACTTACCCCAGTGATCTGCCCTCCGGCCAGCATGAGCTGGGTCTGGGGGAGGGCCGCCGGCACTGACGGCTGCGGGGAGGGCTGGCTGGGCTGCTGGGCGTCCCCCGCCTCCTCACTGGACTTAGACTGCAGGGAGAGCAAAGAGGTCCCAGAGCGTTCACTGACAGAAGTGTGCTCAGTTCCCCATGGTTCAAGAATTACCTAACACATGAACTTATCCAGTCATGGGTTTTCAGCTTTGCTCTTTTCCTTTCTTATAAATCCTCACAGTTTCCTAATTTTACATACTAAGTTTATAGATTTCTTTTTGTTCCAATGCCAGCAAAACTTTAATTATAATGTTTAAGAACAGAAAATAATTTGTCCTCCACAAAACACGGGAAATCGCCCACACCCTCCCCTCCAGAAAAGGGGCGGGGAGATCTCCTCTCCAACCCTCTGTGCACGGGCTCCCGAGGCCCAGCCTTCAGACCGCACTGGGCAGCGGGCCTGGGACTTGCCACCACCTCCCCAAGGTCGAGGGACAGGATCGCTGGGCCCCAGAAACTCCTCCTCCTCCGCTACTGAAACAGCCGCAACTCTGCCACGGCTGTCAGGTAACGCACAGGTGTGGAGGGCGACCACGGCGCGCAGGAGGGAAGGACTCACTCCCGGAAGCCACCCAGAGAAAGTTCCCTGGTAATTAACGCTGGTTATGTGGAGCACTGAAGTTCTGCACAGATCTGCGCATTTCCCACCACCTGTTTGGGGACTGCGGCAAGGCTAATGAACACAGAGGCTCTGATTAATCCTGCCAGTCAGTGAGAGATAATTACAGAGCAGGACTGTAAACACTCGGCACTGGAGACACAGCCTGTTTGCCAACATCCCTCTATGGGATGAAAGTTTACCATGGCAACCGAGGCAATTTTCCGCCTCCTCTCCCTCAGAAAGGAAGGTCACATTATCTCCTCTTCTTTTCCCTCCTTGTTTCCATGTGTTACTAGGTCCATATTCCACTGGGTTTCATGGACTGCTCTACCCAAGGTCTTTAGTTGTTAGCAACTCTGAAATCAATCTTCCAGAATACTGTTCTTCCCTCTTGACTGTTAGTTACCTAAACACACAAATGAAAGGAAGCAGCAGGTCCACTGAAATATTGAGGAGTCCATGCTTAATACTTGAACTTGGCATGCTGTGCCACATGGTTCACAGAAGAAACGGAGTCAGATTTGTTTTGGTTTAAACTTGCGCCTGTCTGAAGCCACGCTCTCTGCCAATGTGTCTATGAACAGGTTTCAGCACAAGCTGGAGAGCTGTCACGTCTGCCTCGGGAGCTCCGAACCTCCCCACTAAGTACAGGTAAGAACACGGGAGTCTGGGTGGTACAGGTAAGAACACGGGAGTCTGGGTGGTACAGGTAAGAACACGGGAGTCTGGGTGGCGAAGTGATTAGCAAAGGCCACGCAGCTGGCCAGCTGGCACCGAGGGGGACTCCAGCCTGGGGCCCGCCCCTCAGCCCTGTGCTGCCCCTGCACACCACAGAGCTCCCCGAAACACGAGGATGATGATGAAAGAGACACCTGGAAACAGAGGGCATCGAGGACATGCTTGGCTCTGTGTTTGGGGATGTGCTACAGCTTATGACCTAGAAACACGGGTCCTGGACTTACATATGAAACTTTGAAAACAGACTTTCCCCGGTCACCTTCGGGCATTCACAGGGGCATAATGTAAAAGTCATCTTCATTAATAGCAGTGATTATCATTATTTGGATCTTCACGAGAATCAATAGTAAGAAAAGGTAACACTCCTAAGTACTTCCCATTACAAAATTATTGCACACTCATTACATAAAATTTGAAAAATACGGGGAGAATGGAAGACTTGCGCCCGCCCGCTCACCTGCACATTTAGAGACTGGGCTGCAGCCTGTAAACCTGTCCCAGCGAGCTGGACCTGCAAGGAAGCACCGGGCAGTTAGGGCCCAACACGTCGGCACCACCACTGGGGGTGTCACCAGCAAGGACCTCAAGAGCCTTAGTAAGTGTGTCACTGAGCCTTGGGTCTATCCTCTGGGGTTAGAACTGTGCAGACGAGCATGTCTGCCCCCCGCCCATGGGAAAGCGCTGCCCCCACTGTGTTTGGAGGGGTGTCCCGCACAGCTGAGCTGGTAGTGCCTGGGTGCCACGCGTGTGTCAGGCGTGCCTTGTGTCGCCACTCTGCTTGTTTGCAGACACGGAGACATAACAACTCAACTCATCTCCCACACTGTGTGAAAACACACAGAAGCACAAGCTACTTGCATACGTTATTTTTATCATTATAAACTACCAGAATTATCTGCTCGTTCTGATTTCAAACTCTCTATGCACGCGATGCCCAAGGAGAAACCTCTCATGCACACACACCTGCACACTCGAGTCCTGAAGGCATCTGCAGTCACAGAACTCAGAACTGCTGGCTGTGGAGAAGACTCCATCCTACAAGCCACACAGGACAGTCTGTCACATTTAAAGTAGGCATCGCACCACTCGGAAAGTCCAACCATGGTCACATTAAAATAAGGACCACCACTTGACACCAGGACAGTAAGAACTGATCTCTGTGTCACCGATGGTGCAACGCGAGGAATAGCGTGACATTCACACAACCACGGCAACCTCTCCAGAGGTACCCATTCGTGACCAGGAGGAGCAGTGACTTTATCCAGAGGCACCCAGAAGACGAGTGGCCACAAAGCCACCAGCAACAACACAGGTGCCTCTGGTGTGACACACCAGGAAGAGTGTGACATCACTCTGGTCTTCCTGCCCCGAGTCTCATGGTGATGAAGCACCAGACCAACTCCGACTGAGCGACATCACAGGACAACCAGTCTGGGCTCCCAGATGCACCAACGCCCTGCAGGCACAGACAGACTGGCTGGGCCGGCGACAACTCAGCCCAGGGCAAGTTGACAGCGGCTCAAGCCAGAGAAGCAGCAGCAGCAGCAGCGGGAGAGGCACAGAGTCCACAGTGGGTCCTGAGAGCCGCCAGGACACAGACGCAGGGGAGGGCCACGGGCCAGCCTGAGGCTGACTCTGGGTGACTGGGAAACCGCAGTGTGGTCGGCAGGAGGACACACGCTCCTTTTGGATCTATCACAGAGCACCGAACTGAAACATTAACAAGCTGCTACTATGTCCTTTATTTAAAGCCGATCGTCCCCAAACAAACTCAAAGATAAGAGCACAGGCAGGTGATTAGCTGCAGGCGGGGGTCAACAGTGGTGTAAGGCGATGACCAGACTTGATGTGATCACCCAGCTTGCGCACGTGGAAGTACAACGTTGTGCCAATTTCACCTCAATTTAAAAGATACCCTACAGTCCTATTAGTAGATAAGAATCCTCAAAAAATGAAACCCCAAACAAAAAAATCCCAAGACTGGTACAGAACCCATCTCAAGACACAGGGTGAGCAGGGAGGGCGACCAGACAGGCCACGCGTTTGAGGCCGGAAGCTCAGCGGCCAGCCCTGGGGCAGAGGGAAGGGCCCCGGCGCAGAGACGTGAAGAATGCATGGTCTCTGACTCTCTGACTCTCTGACTCTCCGACCCGAGACGCAAGCCACACCTGGCACCAGCGGTCGCGTCTACCCCATGGTCAGCCACCGCTCCCCAGCCTGTCCCTGTCTCTCACGGCACAGGCGACTTTAAAGGGTGCAGACCAGCTGATTCACAAAAGGCACCCGACTTGCGTTTGTCTGAGTCTGTCCCCATGGCCAAATCAAGGTCCGTGTCTCTGTCAGGAGGACACGCAGGGCACGTGACACCAGCCCATCAGGCCACAGTGCAGCAGACTCGGTCGTCTGACCAGGGGTTCAGACCTGTCCACTGTAAGGGCCGCTGGTGTGGCCCATGTGACAGGGAGTGGTGTGTGAGGAGACACCTGAAGGCTTGCGAGTGTCCTGTCCCTCACAGGCTTCTACCCAGAGGCAACACGACTGATGTCCCCTAGCAACCCCCAAGCACGGGCTCTGACCCTGGGGCTGCAGTCCACACAGTGCCAGTGTCTCAGGGGAGGGGCTGAGCCCAGAGGTCGCAGGCACTGGAGGCCAGTGAGGGTGGGGGCGGAGCATCGGACTTACACACACGGAGACTGCAGCCCTGCTGGCGACACGCACCACTCATAGCAAGGAGCCGTCTGTCCCCAGGCAGCTGTGGGGGCGATCGCTGCCCGCCACCTGCGCTGCAGGACTGTGGACATGCCATTCAGAAAGGCACTGTGAGAAGTGAGGAGCGCCAGGCGCAGTCACCTCGACCCCCCTGGGAGCCCGGCATCCACGCCCCTCCTCTGCACCCCTGCCCACCAGGGCAGAACAGCCCGCCTACCTGGTGGAGGTGTCCGAAGAAAGCCTGGGCCTGGGCTGTGGAGATTGCGCCTCCGACGGGCACCGGCTGCTTCTGGAAGTCCAGACCGTTTGTTTGTGTGCCTAGGACGCAAGCAGAAGAGCATGCCAACAGTGCTCAGGCGTGCGCTTTGTACAAGCCAAATTCTAATACCATCCAGGAAGAGAGAGGGGTGACAGGAAAAGGAATGCAGGGAGATGGCCCCTCCTCTGGACGGCAGACACGCATGGGGCCTGGGGGGGCGCCCGGGAAAGGGACGGAAATGTAAGTGATGGGTCACAACCTAGACAGCATCGAGAGCTTGGATGAGGCACGTGGGACGGGGTCAGACATGAGCGACCACTGCCGCCCACTGCTGAAGGGAACAGCAGTGCCGGCTGCCCCTGGTGTCGCCCCTCTCGGCGTGTGGGCAGAGGAACTCGGGGGGCACTCTGACAAGACAGACGCACTCTTCACTGCACTGATAAATGACAACCTGAGGCAAAGGCAACCACTTACAGGACAGTCACAAGAGTTTCACCAGCCCCTTCGATCCCAAAGTACAGACTGACGCCTGTGACAATCAGCAAGGGCTCTGCGGGGGCCATGGTGCTACATACAAATGGTGTGAGACTGGGCCTAACTTACGGAAAAACATCCCGCTCCAAGTATTTTCTCAGGCATGTGGTACATGGTCTTTAAATGACCACATCCAGCCATTAATTAGAAGTGACCGGAATGCTTTCTACTAATGAAGTGTAACAGGCCACAGGAACCCGCAGAATCACCAAGACACATGCTCGGGCCCGGCCCTCCATCCCCCGTCACCGGGCCAGCCCGTCTGCCCATCCTCGCCCCGTACGTGCACACGCAGCGCAGCAGCGAGGGGGCGCAGGGCAGAGCCTGAAGCAGTATTTCTAGAAGGTGGAACGTGTGCCATTTTTCATCCTAATTTCTAGCAAATGTTCCACTTTTCCTTGAGATAATTAGAAGAGGGTGTGTGTGTGTGTGTGCGTGTGTGTGCATGTGTATTTCACCTCCTTAAAACCTCGAAGTGACTGTTCTTTCAGGGTTTTCCCCCTGTAAGTAGGGAGCTACAGAACTACCTAGACACACGCAGCTAGCGAGGTGCAGCCAAGACAGGGCCTCTGTGTCAGGCAGTGACAAACGAGAATGGGATGAAATCTGAAGTGATCAGGGTCACTTGCAGAAGCCACATACTAGAGAAGTGCCACCCTCTTACAGTCACGCACTGTGCCATTCACTCTCATCTCTACCTCTGTGCAGGAAATCACAACTTAGGCTGTGGTTTTAAGCAGCATTATTTACAGTTGCTAAGATCTGGAAGCAGCGCAAGTGTCCGTCAGCAGATGAGTGGACAAAACAGCTATGGGACTTTTACACAGTGGATTACTACTCAGCCCTAAATAAGCAGGAAATCTTACCCTTTGCGACAGCACAGATGGACCCAGAGAATATTATACTAAGTGAAATAAACCAGTCAGAGGAAGACAAATACCATGTGATTCCACTCTTCTGTGGAATCTAATGAACAAACTGAACTAACAAGCCAACCAGAGACAGACTCACAGATGGAGAGCACGCGGACAGCTAGGGGAGGGGGTCAGGGGTGGAGGGACGGAGCAGAAAGGAGAAAGGGCTCGTGGATCCACACGGACACCAGGTTCGTGACTGCTGGAAGGAGGGGGTGTAAGGGGACTGAATGGTAATGAAAAAATATAAAAATCAGTTAGTAAAAAAATAAAAAGTAAAAAAATTAAAAAACAAAACAAACAAGACTGTGCAGCATTAGAGAGACGTATTCAAGGCACGTTAAAGGGATCGAGAAGGTCAAGGAAGACATGGTCTGGAAAAGCAGAGACCAGCCCCGGAGACGAGCACACTGCTGGTGTAGGGCATCTTCCAGGACCACGTGCTGCGTGATCACAGAGACCAGGGAGAGTCTACACGCCGGTTCCACTTTCACGTTCCTGCAGAAATGGTAACAAGCCCCTTACAGATCACAAAGCATCAGTAACACAAGACCGACAGAGGTCTGCCCGAAGCCACTGGGGCCGCCGAGGGAAAGAGGCGTGAGATGCAAAGACAAGTCTTCTTTTAAGAGGCAACGAGGCTCCATCGGGAGGTGAGGGACAGGAGAAAGCAGAGGTGACAGAAGTCAGTCTTATAAAACAGAGACTCGAACTTGTCTAGGAGAGAAGGGAACAGGGACACACACACGACTTGAGTGTGAGGACCATGGGGGAGACAGGGATGTTGGAAGCCAAGACCAAACATGTGCCTAGAGAACACGGGAACACCCACCTAAAAACCGGGCAACTGACAGGTTGGGGGAGAAGGTGATGATGCAAGAAGGAGGGTTAGCGTCAGAGAGCGTTCAGAAGCCCCGACAAACATGGCAGGAAAGCGACCCCAAAGGTGCTCACAAGGGCAGGACCAGAGCTACAGCCGCCAGGAACACGTCACTAGGACAGTATCACTGGGTGAAACTCAGAGATCTCGTATCCGGCCTCCTGACCTCACCGGTGAAGAAGCAGATTCAGGGATCTTAAGTGTGTTGCTCAGGACGTCACAGCTAGCTGATGGAAGGGTGGAGACATGGAGCGGGTTCCCTGGCTCTGTCTAATCACTCCCCGGGAAGCGACAGTGAAAATCAGGAGAGCAGAAATGGCTGTCAAGTAAGCGTGGACACAGAGAACAGGAGGAGGAAGAGGCCAAAGGCCCCTGACAGCACCGGGAGGCGTCACGCCACGTCACGGAAAAGCCCGGAGTCTGCAGGAGGGCGGTCTAGAGCCACCTGACGGGCAGAGAAGGGAAGCCGAGGGAGAAGCTCACCCCGAGAGACTGGAGGAAAGGGGACAAAGGATGCAGTTAGGGCTGAAAACAGTGGGAGAGCACCACACCCCATGCTGGGTGGACAAACACAGGTTTCCAGGTGTGAGTATGGGAAACACCGAGTTCACGCTGTGTTACTACTTGTTAGTTACTGTATTTGCCTGCGTTGCAGCTGTAACCCCACGTCTGCCCACCCCTGTGACAGACACACCAAGCTGGCTCTTTCTGAAGCACCGCACAGCCCACAAAGCTCTGCTCGGATGTGATAGCCAGTGAGAGGGGAGCAGCACATAGCTGAAGGCTGACGGATGGCAGCACGGGCAGACGCCGCAGACGCCGGGAGGAGCGCGGCGCAGACCAACGCGTTCACGCCCATAACACAGAAACCGGGACTCGGACGACTCCAGAAGAAAGATGTATCCAAACTGACCCAAGAAGAAACAGATAATCCAAAGAGGCTCATAGCATTTGAAGAAATTAAATTAGTAAATAAAAATACCCACCTGCCAAATAAAAAGCCTAGACAATTTTCCTCTGTTTGCTTCCAAAAATCTAAGGAAAAACAAATCCGATCTTAGAGTTGGAGGAAGGGGAAATACTTCCCAATTCATTTTATGAGGCTAGCAAAACTGAAATCTGACAAAGGCAAGTATAAAAAAGAAAAAGAAAGCTACACCTGGCTGGTGTAGCTCAGTGGATTGAGCTCGGGCTGCAAACCAAGGGGTCGCCAATTTGATTCCCAGTCAGGGCACGTGCCTGGGTTGTGAGCCAGGTCCCCAGTGGGGGCCACATGAGAGGCAACCGCACACTGATGTTTCTCTCCCTCTCTTTCCCTCTGTCTAAAAATGAGTAAATGAAATCTTAAAAAAGAAAAAGAAAACAAAAAACCAGACAAGTCAGTTTGACTCATAAATATATATAGAAATAGGCTAAATAATAATAACAAACATAATGGAGTCAGATAAAATACTGTGACTAAGACGAACTTATTTCAGGAATGCAAGGCTGGTATGGAGTTAAAAACACCAATTACCATGATTTACCACATTCAGTGAAGGAAGTGCTATCATCATCTCAGAGGGAGGCCCTCAGACAAAATCCCACGCCCACTCACGAGAGGCCTTCTAGACAAGGAGCAGGAAGACACGCCCTGCCCTGCGCCGGCGGGCCGGGCGCCCCTCAAGGGCCGAGCACAAGGCGAGCAAAGCAAAACAGGCGAGAACACACCCGGGGCGGAGGAGGACCTGACTTCGCATGCACGCAGACCGCCCTAAGGAACCGAAGTCTGTTACTAGAGCAAGAAAGTGTAACAGCACACAGACCCTACTGAAACTCCACCAAACTACAGCAAGTTCTAGAAGCAAAAAGTGGTAACATTTTACTTAAAAATAATAAAGGCATAAATAAATGCTCATTTATGAGACGACTCTACATTGTAAAGATACATGCTCTTCCCAAACAGATGGATTCAAAGCCACTCCATGTCAGATGTAATTTCATCTCAGTAAGTTATGTCCCTTCTCCAGTCCCTTCTCCTTCTCCGGGTGGGAGGCGTGTAACTGACAGGCTGATGTGAACATATAAACACAAGGGCCATGGGCCCAGATGTTCTCTGGAGCAAGGTCCGGGAAAAACAGATTTTTACTAACTTTATTCTCACCTGTAGGAAAATGAGTGTGACCTGTGACCTGCCAGCTGTGGGGACCACATCTTTTTCAAATCACTTACACATGTCACATAAAGGAAATACTTCGAGGACTAAGGAAAGAAGAAAGTCCTTAGTCTAAAACTTTAACATCGTATGAACAATTTTGTTGGCAAAAAGAATTTCCACCAAACATTTATTCTACACTGCCCCTCACCTAGTCAAACACTGCTTCCCCAGCTCCACCTTAAAGATGTGAGCCAGGTAAGTGGGGGCAGTTTCCCACCTGCTTCAGAAACACGAGGAAGCCCCTGAAAAGCTGCAGTGAAACTCTTAACCCTCTGATTTTTCCCGGTGCCAGGGTCCCTAGCTTAAATCACAACTCTCTGCCACAAATCTGCCCGCGCTGCTCACGTGCCCACTGCTGTCCCTGCGGCCCTCCAGCCCCTGCGCACACTCCCCGGACACCCCAACGGCCTCCGCCCCCAGCGCCGTCTGAAGTGCGTCCTGCCTGGAAACATGCTTATCGGCATGCGTTATCTGCACCTATCTTTACCCCCCCACTTCTCTCCCTTAAAGAGCCAAGGCCTCTTCTACTCCACG